ATCTCCGAAAAATACTTAGCCGCTGCCGGGAGCGCGACGAGTTGCATTCTGCGTCATTGGAAGGGTCGATAACTGTGAGTAACCCACCCTACCGAATGGTTTTTGGTTTGAAACTAATTGGAATTTTGAAGAAATTCTCACTTTTAAAACTGCGTGCTGAGGTATCCTTGGCGTGACAAGACATGTCTTCTAGGCATTTAAGCGTTGTGACATGGCTTTGTGTTGAATTGTTTTGGTACCACTTCAGGTAAATGCTCACTATTTTGAGGAAGGCAATGTGCAATTGGAAAGTAGTCGTAAGTTCAATGATACTGTCGTGCTACAGGTATTACAACCTTAACTTTTTTTTTTTTTTTGTAGAACGTCATTCCCGAAATGAAGCTTATTTTCTGTTGGCTGTTTTCTTTTTGGAGGAAACCCGCTTTTTTTGCACGTCACTGGTACTCGAAATGGTTTTGGGCGTGGTTGGAGGAAAGACCTCGTGCATCATAGTATTTTATCTCCATTAAAGAGTTGTTTTAAACATCTGAAGTGATCCTAGATTGGTGGTCACTCTGCCTGCAGGATGGAAAGGATGCCGGGACTTTGATTGTCAACTCTATTGAGCACTTCGAATCAGTGTACTTGTCTAATTTGGAGGCAAGTGTTTCAAATCTGGTTTAACTTGGGTGCTGCAATGCTAACATTTTTGTGTGGCTTCAATATATTGCTGCCAACTTTGTTCGTATCCTGGAACTGATTGAGCTCCCGCCTTCATGTGTACTTTTTCAGGAGCAGTATGCAAATCTATCCGACAGAACATTCAAGGTAAGAACGTCATGACCACTTTCAAATCTCTCAGGTTGATTGCCATGGAAAAGTACGTGATGGAATGCAGGCAGGTTGTCGCACACCATGCACCCATAGGTTTTAGTTGGTTTCATAGATAACATTTTCTCAATTTATTCTTAGTGGATGTTGACTTGTTGGTGTAATTGTTTATTTGTAGAAGCAAATGGGCTTAGTTTTCATGGAGATTAGTGATGGTAGTGTAAGCAGTTTGGAGGCTTATTCTGAAATGTTTGAGAAGATCATATGTGTCCAGAATTTAATTCTGATAGGTACATTGGGATGATGGAACAGGAGTTGCGAAGGAAGTTACCTGTTACTCGCACAATGTTTGCATGGGACAAGGCATTGCAGTTGAGCTTGACTAGGGAGATTACCAGAGAATTTTCTGGGAATAGGAGATAGCTTATATCTAACCATCATTGCCCATGTACAAGGAGCAGAATTTACACGAAATGACTATTTGCTAATCTAATAACTAATCACCAATGACACTTCAAGCTTTGACTTTTCCATGGCGTTTACCATCAAGAAGCCATGTGAGCAGGGTAGACAGTGCTGTAGACCATCCTTTGTGTAAAGGACTATACATAGAAGAATACGGCCTACACACCGGTCTCTCGTCGTGTATTTGACTCTTATGCACCCTTTACATGAAGTGAATACTTTTCACCGTGCCTCTTCGACATGTAATTTCACCAAGGGCCCTGCTAAAGCGGTTTATGTTAAAGTGTTGAAGAGAAACTGAGATTTTCACCAAAAATCGAAGAGCTTACCCAATTCCCATATCAGAAATATTTATGTACTTCTGACAAGTAACAACCGTCGCTTTTAATCGCTTGTCCCGTCCCCATCTCCACTAATTACGGGTCGCATACGAGTCGCCGGTACATCACTTTGAAATATGAGTGTAACTTCCATAGTTAGATGCACAATGACGTCCAATTTTTGCTTGAACGAGTGGCGTCTGTTCCTGGAACGCTCGGTAGGAATCTATTGCAAATACCATTTAATTTTTATGATTCACAATACAATGTGTTCTCATTCTGACACTACTCCATATTCCAATGTTTGGCTACAAATAGTAAGGTTCATGTGGAATTTAATCGTTTCTGCCTTCAATATATCCAAATCTCCGTTATCATCGCTGGGTGCTTGACTCTTCCCGGTTAAAACTGTCTCATTGCCGTTTGGCACAGTGAAACGCACATACGCATGGTACAACCGAAAGAAAATCAATGCGGCATGTTGAGAGAATGGGTATTTATTGTATGCAGAACATGATTCTGTGTATCCGAAAGGATTCCCCAAACATGCGCTGATTATAGATTATCAGTGCCAACGCGGACTACATGTGTACGCCTCCAGATCTGTTCAATTAATATGAACCGTGCATTCATGTTGATATGCATTCCGACTTTACAGAGTTTTGTCATCTTCGAATGATACGTAGGTGACAGTAAAAACAAGTTGAGTGAAACGGCTGGTTTGGTGGGCTCCACTTAACTCCAAATATAATACGCCATGAAGTCACAGATTGAGAAGAGAAATTTTTCCGTGAGGTCTAAGGCATAGAGTGAAACACACCCTGTATTGTGTAATACAAAGTCGAAAGTGCAGATTACAACCCAATCGAACAAAATGATCACACAGAATACGCAGCCCAGGACTTTTCATTGAGAAAACGGCTCACCAAACATCTTCCATAGAAGAGGAAAGATTGCCCGAAAGAGCCAGCGTTGCCCCCAAAGACTGCAAAGCAGACCTACAATATAAAATTCAAGTATTTGGCAGTCTTTAACGATTGCAAATAATCCACTTCAGGTTGTGCGGATACCAAGTTTCTAAATATTAATCACATATTTTCCAATAACACACAGCACATGGAAGAACAAGCTACAGCGAGTTCAGCTCTACCCTCAGAGCGGTAACAGGTCACCCATTCGCTGCCGTGCCTTAAACCATCCAAAGTCACCTCCAACCACTTCACACAAGTATTAGAACTCTACTAGAGTTTTCAACCGGTGCGCAGAATGATATGAGAACCGCTTTCGGTGTCAATGATGTCGCTGAGTTCCCCGACTTTGAGTGCAAAGGCAGCTTTCTCAAATGGCTCCTGCATCTGACCACGGCCGAACCAGCCTGGTCATACACACACGATGAACAAGGAAGTTAAACTATGAACCCAGAGCGTACTAGGATTCACATGAATGACTCAATTATCCCTCACTCGCGTTGAGAGAAACTGTCCAGAAAAACTATTTGACCTCTCTCTGACAGGGATAAAGCAATACGAAAAAATCAGTACAATTTCGGTGAGACGCAAAACGATAATTGTGAAAAATACTGTGAAGATCACAGAAGCTTGGAACGAAGCCATAGCAAGAACCAGGTGGGACACTGAACCAAGTCCCTAAACAAAATACACTCCAGCAATTAGAGAGACGTGATATCTTCAAAGATTAACAAGCCTGACAATAAATAGAAGGAGAGACGAAAGAAGAACCGCACTGAAGACCTGTGTGCCCTACAAGCCCTAACATTCGATGGCCGAGTACACCAGTCCAAAACGTGTTGTCGGTGACACATATCACATTGATAAGTCAGGCCTTAATATCAACGATAGCAAACCCTACCCAACACATAAACCCGAACTGGAAGAAAGATTACGGTACATAATTTACCACCGCAATAGCTGATATCAAACCCAAATCAAAGAGTTGAACATGAAAGCCATTTGCCCAGAGTCCTCTCCACAATCGAGGATTTCGACTACAAAAAAAGAAAGGCGGGAAAGGGTAAGGAGAAATCCGAACAGGTGCAGAGCGGAGTGGGAGAAAGAAACATACCCAAATCGCCGCCTCGCTTAGCGGAGGAGCAATCGGAGTTCTTACTGGCCAAGTCAGCTAGGGTGCTTTTGCCGCTCTCAATGTCGCTCTTGAACTGCTGGAGCTGAGCAACAGCATCGTCGCGGGTGGTTTTTTGAATGATCTTGCCCTCGGGATCTTTCCATGACGCCGGACGACGGGAGCCCTGGTGCTTGACCAGCAAATGTGACGCACGAACCTTCTCCCTGGAACTCATCTCCACCCAAACCCACAAACGCTCGCAACACGGCCTCTCTCTCTCTCTCTCTCACTCTGTCTCTGTCTCTCTCTCGCTCGCTCTCTCTGTTACCCCTCACTCACCATCAACGATCAAGAGAAATCGCAGAAGCAGTAACAGAGCTTTCGCGAACACGACGCCGTGACAATGAAGCGGAGACAGTGTAAGCTAAAAAAAAAAAAAAAAAAAGAAAAAAGAAAAAAGCTTCACATCACTAGATTCGGATGCTGCAATGCCCTTCGATGCATGCTGTCGATGAAAATATCCGTGATGTGGGTATCGCATTGCGATGGTTCTGACAAGGGCTTCATCTGGACAGTCCATTCCACCTCACCCTCCCATCGATCCGTCATCCATCATCCTAACGATTCTTGAATCCTCTCACACTTCCGTCATTCGGGCAGAGAGATTCGGCCCCAGTCAGACTTCACTGCCACGCTGCCATGGCCCAAGTGAGAACTGTGGCCTGATCAGTCGACAACGGATGCTTGGCCGGATGACGGTCAGTTTCATCTTCAACAGACCCGGCGATGAGCATCTTCCGTCAGCGAAGATCTAAAGTTGCTACATGCCGGCACTTTAACCAACTTCTAAATCATGCTCCGAGTCTTCCTGAGTTAAGTGCATCATTATTTGCAGTTGCAAATGTTTTCCATTTCATGCGTTTATCTAATCGAATATGTGCAACGTTTCAGCGATATTGTTCCATACACTGATCACTGTATCGTTTCCAAGGTGCTGATGATGGTGTGTAATGCAAGTTGTCCAAAATTGCGTCATAAGCGGGATTCTAGGGACGCTGGCGCTGATATGCAGAGAATCACTTGGAAGTCGCAGTTCTCACCACACTGAAGTACCAGCTACTTCATCTGTATTTAATGTCAATATTATCCATGTTTTTTTGTGCAGTTATCCAAGACATGCAACAGCATCTGTCTGGAATAACAAGATCGACCTCTCGGAGGCCTTGTTCGTGGGCCGAAGGGACAGATAAGCTAGGGGTTACGAACGACGCGGAGTCGGCAATGGTTCGTGCCAATTTGCAGCGGCACCACCGGCAAAGGCCTCGCCTGGCTCGTCATGTCTCTGTCCGCAACGCCTCTTAAAAACCGTGATTAGCATGATAAATATCTCGTTCAATATTTCCACAGGCACAATTGGATTTGCATACTGCCGCAAATGCATCCCTTGATGCTTTGATCGACAATGAGCACAATCAAAAGCAAACAACCCATCATCTCATATGGGACAAGCTGCGATATAAGCATTACACATGACATAGATCAAAATTTATCTCACAGCTGAGCTATTACAAAGTATCCTGTACACATATCGATGAGACTTATTCAGGAGGGTTTACAGTAACGGATCAGCGATTAGACGATCCCGCAGTGACTACTGATAGTAGTTCGAGCGATGGTGATGGCTGGACCCAGACATCGAGAAGCAATCATTCATACACTGGCTCATACACTCATGTACTGAGCGGAGCTTGAGGTCGGAGTTGGCATCGTCTGTGGTCTGGGCTGTGGTTTTATGGGAGCTTGTGCGAGAGTCGTCGTTTTCATGAGATCGCCTATGTGAATGCTTGGTTCCGGCACGCTTGTATGGCCATTCGCCCACGAAGTTGCCAGGCGGATTATAGCTGCAGATGATGAACGTGGCCTTGTCATGGCAGGTGATTGAAGCGCACCCGACCTCCTTTGTGTCCGCCCACACCACCTGCGTATAGTGCCCGCACACCTTCCCCGACGCGCAGGAATTCGAGTCGTAGTCGTAGTGCTGTTTCTCATCCACCCACGAGCGCACGGCATCCGCGGGCGCAAACGACTTCCCGTAGCCCCAGAAAAGGTTCTCCCCATACGGACCCCGCGAGTGCACCATGGCGCAATTGTGATGATCGCGCTGCTCCTCCCCGTACTTGCGCGCGTAATCCTCCAGCTTGTGGCTCCAAACCAAAGGCCCTACGTCCACATCAGCCCTCGCTGCGTTGTGCGCTGACACAAACTCCTCAGCCTCGCTCGAAACTGCGCTCGAGTAGCGAGGCAGCTCGCTACCGAGGATCAGAACCACGGCCATCACCGCAACCACCGTCATCTTCATTATTCCTGTCCTCGTCCCAGGTCACCACCAACAACAAATGCTTCACATAAGCCTCACCCAACGATCACATCAATAAATCCTTTCAACGCAGACGGCAAGAATTCAAGGTTTCCGAGGCTTGAAGAACGGGGACGGATTCAAGCGAGGACGTGGAATGAGAAGCGAGTGAGTGAATGAGTGAGTGGCATCGGGCACGGCATGGCAGCTCCGTGGGGATTGATCCTGAAAGGAAGGGGGGGGGAGGGGGGGGGGAGTCCGAGGCGATCGTCGGGCGAGCGGTGTCGCCATGTGGATCCATGCGAAACAAAAAGGCGCCGAGCTTGAGGATGCGACGACACTCGTCCTTTCCTTTGGCGACTCACTCGTCGCCACAGCACAACCCACTCTCACCATTCAACTACCGCATTCCCACACACACACACAAAATAATAATGTATATACTCGCACTTCGTTGTCAAGGAGCAGCGAGCGACTCTTGTCAGTTTGGTCATACGGATGGATGAGAGTGGGCTCTGAACCCCGTCCATGAAGTTTCATCCATCCTCTCCCTTCCCTTCCCTTTCCTTCCCTTTTCGTCTCGTGGGGTTTTCTTCGAGATTCGTTATATATATATATATATATATATATATGTGTGTGTGTGTGTGTGTGTATGTGTGTATATATATTTATATATTTATATATATATATATATATATATGTATATATTTATATATATATATATGTAATTTTATGAAGATCTTTATTTATTTTTTTTAAAAAAAAATCACACAAGAGCTAGTGTGCAAAACTATAAATAAATAAAATTTAGGAATAAGCGTTTATTTTTATCCTTTTGTCAAAATCAAATTATCAAAATGTGATTATAAAAATGATATAAGAAAAAAACGTATGAATGAGAAAAAATATTGGTATTAAAAATAGAAGCACATTTCCAAACCATAACAAACATCAAACATAAGTAAGCCAATTCAAAACTTTACCAAAACAGATTCTGTTAAACAAAGTTGATAGTTATATTATTACACAGAGGTTACAATGTAGCATTTGCAGATACATTTTTCTATTACTACTTTATTTAATGAGCATGAATAAATTTGTCTTTTTTGACCAAAAAAATAAGTTATAACACGTCCCCATAAAAAACAATATAGTAAAATACCATTTTTACCTATTATTAATTTGTTCTGAGAATTCTTGAAAATATTAATAATTTTAAGGTGTGATGTATAAGTTTTACAATTCATTCCACTTGAAGACGTATGTAATGGTTGTCTTCACATCATAGCAATTCAAATTGACCATCCATTTGTAAGATTTTTTTACCTTTTCTTTTCTTCTCCAAATACATACAAATACATTTGGAAATATACATAGATTATATGATATCAGTAAACTCGTTTACACACACAAAAAATATTGCGACAAACATTTTTTTTGATGTTTAAACATAAATATCTTACTAAGACTCAAAGAGGAAATGCCTCCAAGTCAGATTGATCCCACCCTCAAAGCTCACACACGTGGACCCATGTTTTCATTCATCCATAATATTACATTAATTTATTACTCATCCAGACGTCTCCACACCGGATTGGGCTGCGGGCGATCCCAAGCTCTGCGATGAGCCTCAGCGACGCTGCGTCTCGCGCCGGAGATTGTCCGTCTACCAGGCGAGGGAGGCATCGTGGTGATCTTGCCAAGCCTGGAAATGCATCTGAGCTTGGATATTTCGTCGCGTTTAGTGTGTTGCACGTGGGTTTAGAGTTTGCACCGAGTGGGGGCGATTGAGGTTTTGTCTTTGGACTTGCATTCCTTGAATTCGTTGAAGATTTTGGAGCCATGGCGACGTCCCAGGCCTCCACTCTTGTCGTGGCTGGCGCGGGGCTCCATGGATATCCACAGCTGCATTCTCATCTTCTTTATGCGCCCATTACCCAGCTCCCCTTGCAGCAACCGGGCTGCCTGTCGAGAGGAGCAAGCAGTTGCTACCCCACTAGCAGAAGGCCGCTGGTAGTGGCTGCCGTTGGTGGGTCTCCTTCTTCTTCGTCTTCTTCTGAACCGATTCTGGAGGACGAGAAGCCGTCCATGAGCTCAACCGCGGAGGTGAGCATATGCCTTTGCGCGATTGTAATGTTTTTCTGTTGGGGTTCTCTACAATTCGTTGATGCATTTGTGGATGCATTTGTTGTAGTTATGGGTTTTCTGCGAGGAGGAAGTGTTGGTTGGTTGGGCTGTGGGTGCGGAGATTGATGTGCGTTGGTTGTGGCGTGTGTACTCAGGACAGGGAAAAAGCGAGGGAAATCCGCTGGAGGAAGGGCATGGAGGACTACGAAGCTGTAATCAGCATAAACCTGCGCTATTTTTGCGAACGTGTATTGCAATGAATGGGAATTGTGAGATTAGGTTTTCAAGGGTTTTAGTGACAACGCTGGAAAGAGGGGGTTGGTGATCACCTGTGATTTTGCGAGTTTCGTGATCCTGTGGTTTCGATTGTGAGCAGCTTAAAAAGGAACTTTCAGATACAACAATCAAAGTAGCAGTGGCCGTTGACGCGTACATCTTCCTCACTCTATCTCCACAGGTTGTCAATTGAGACTTTTTGATTTTTCGTCTGAATGTGATTTGGGTTTTAGTCTGTGAATTTTGTTTTATTTCTTCAGCCAGTTGCTGTGAAAGCGTATTAACTGGCGTCTTGAGTGAAACCTTGGTGGTTTCGAGCATGTTGTCCACTAACAATTAGAAAATTTGCCACTTGTGTCGTGCGCCTTGCTGACAGACTGCTGTGAGCTACACCATTGGGGCAATTGCAAGGTGAGCCTTCTTTGAACAGTAGATATTGCTCGACTTTCAAAAATCATAGTGTGATAACTGTTTTAAATTTTCTATTCTGCAATCCCCCATATCTTCAGAGAAATGCTTCTAAATTTCATTAAAAAGAGAACAGTTTACAGTGGAGAACTGCAGTCTACTAACACGAGTCAATTATGAAACCGCAGCTACTTGTACTTGCAATTACTCTACCGTCATGCAGACACGGTTTCAAAAGACAATGTTGCCGAAATTTTTCAGAAAAGGAGAGCAAAGACGTAAGAGTTCGCTAAAACCCCTTTCTTTAGTCCTATCTCGGCTCACGCAGCGTTTTGACCTGTCAATGGCGATTGTCTCGGATTCATCTTTGTTGTTTTATGCTGCTCTCAAGGGACAATACTTGTCCTGTTTATAAAACCGTGATTAGTAACCGACATGCTTGGATTTTTGCATCAGGATCGGCATCCGCAGCAGCGACGTGCAACAGGTCTTGGAGAAGACCATCCGTGGGTGTGGGATCTCGCTATCATCTCCACGCTTGATTGTCCCTGCGGCGCTGTACACTCTGTGGGCGTTCTCCACTCGATTCACCGGAACTTCTACCGACTCTTTTCACTTGGAGGTATGACTTTTGCTGGTCCTGCCAATGTGTGGGTTGTTTTGTACAGGTTGATTGACTTTCTGGTTTCTCTTGCTTAGGAAGCAGAGCTCCTCGTCGTCAAAACTTGTGTCATCGCATCTGATGTCAGATGGATCCCGGTTGGTGTGAGCAGGTGACACCACTCATGCTTGGCTTCTTTGCTTACAAAGGGGCAGCTCTTTTCCAAGCTTACCAGGACAACAAGGACTTACTGTTAATAATTGACACAGAGGATTCGGATTCTCGGTAAATCATACAGTAATACAATACAATACAAGTTTGTCATGTGCATGACTTCTTCATGTCTCGTCCTGGAGAGTGCTGCCGAGGATTTACATGCCAGTTTTTAGAAAGGTATGTTCAAGTCAATCAATTCACTGGTGGAGGCAGCATATGTGGGTACACGAAGAGATTTGTGGTGCTTTCATACACTGGTAAGGAACAGTCAGCTTTATGTACAATATTTCAGTGAATTGAAGTACTGGACGATCTTTTTCCCTTCGAGTGAATTCAGTACATGTTACATTCAGTCTTTTTCATACGTGTGCCACCTTGAGAAAGGTAATTGTGTGGTTGTCAAGTATGAGTTCATATTCTAAAAAAATTCTTCTGTGTCTTGTCAATTTGGCACATCATTTGTTGCAAATCTTTTTTATTTCTTTCTTTCTTTCTTTTTCGTTGAAGTGGCGCCATGTTAATTTGTTGCCATCATCACAAAGTTTGCATCACGTCTTCAGAAAATATGAAAGAGCTGATTCGAAAGAGTTGTACGAAGTCCATGGAAAATACTAAGCAATAGTCTTAATGCCATTAGCAAACAAGAAGTCCATGGAAATATCAAGGCACGGCTGTAATGCTTCATATCAATAAATGGTTTCACTCGCCATTGAAAAAATAATAATTATACCAGATAGTTAAAAAGTTCATTTACTATCTCAGATGAATAAAACTTACATTTAGTAGAAAAATTAGTGGAGGATATGAAATAATTTATTTCGAGACAATTGCTTTGTTGTCAAGGGTCGATTGTAAGTCTAAATTCCATAAATTGTTTCTGAGAGCACATGCACTAAATGAGAAGGTTTTTTTTAAAAATGAAATGAAGGGAATCAACCTCCAAATTTAAACTTAATTTTGAGTTGATTACGAGTAGAGAAACCATTCTAATTTTGCAATTTTTAATGATGCATCCATAAAACATATGTTTTGCTCCAATACTTTACATTTACCTCATTTTATCACACATAGACGAACCAGCAGACTCCAGCATGAAATCACTGGCTGCACGATACCCGGATGGCACCCGAGGGTGATACCAGATTAACTCTACATACCCGCAGTTCATGTGCAAATCTGGGCCGACCAATACGAGAAGCGGAGGAATGGTAGTTGACATTGCCAGTGAGTGACGTCCCCCGTGCAGGCATCGTAAGGAGAAAGAAACAGGCAATGAAGATAAATATATTGGGAAAAAGAGAAAGAAATGGGACGGGAAGAGCGTCATCTGCAGCGTGTGCTTGGAAGGCTCCCGCCGAGGCAGAGCGAGAGAGAGTTTGTTTGTTGGCCGGTGCCTTTGCCTCGCAGGGAGGGGTGTGTGTGTGTGTGTGTGTATTCCGGAGGGTGAATTCGGCCCGAGTTGCAGAGGATTGGAGGCTATGGCGACGCCTCTGGCCTCCTCGGCCTCCCTTTCCCTGCTCGCCACTGTCGCCGTTCAACAGGTGCCGTCTCCTGGCAGCAAACAGCTCGCTGTTTCGCAAATCTCTTCAGGTGCCAGAGTAGGTTTCGCCCGTGCTCGGAGTGACAGGTTGTTTGTGGCTGCCGTGGGCGGTTCGCCTTCTCCCGGGCCCGTTTCTGCGGAGGAGAAAGCTTCCAGCAGCTCAGAGGATGTGGTAAGTGCCACTGACTACGATTTCCGTCGTTTTTTTGTTTATGTTTTGGTTTCCTGGCTATGGCTATGGCGGTTCTGGGATTGCGTTTTGAACTTTTATCGGGTTTCGGAAGGTGTTGCTTGGCGCACCGCTCTATGGATGTTTCCGCACTTTTCATTGGTGATTCGTAAGCTGAACTTAGGAGTTCCGACAGAATGCCTTGTTTTCTACTGATACTGATTCCCTTGCTTCCTCTTTGAAAACGATGGATTTGGCGTTAGTGCTTTCAAAAAACATCAAACAATTGTAGGTTGTGGTGAATGAAAGAGACACGTGGTTGTCATTGATAGAGACGTGCCGTCATGCAAAATATTAATGAACTACTCATTCAAGTGAAGGTTTCTGTAATTCGCAACCGAGAAAAGTCAAATACGTCGTTGAATTCTTGCACTGGATTGATTATATTGGTCTTCAAATGTTGCATTTGCTTTTCTGTATAATGTGCATTATCATGACTAGGATGTAGAAATGGCAGGCGCTGTATGACTCTGCAGGCTGATTAGGATTGTGGTTTGAGATGACAGACCAGTGTAGAGGATGCTTCAGATGCGTCGTCCTCACAGCCTACTCGTATATTTTCACCGACTGCATGTCAAGCATGTGGAAAGGAGGACAAGGTTGGGGGTTGCAATGGCGAGGGCAGGATTCTTGGAGGCCTGAGCTCCGTTCCCGGATTCGGATGGTTTCCCATCAAGGCTTATAGGCCTTGCCCGGCTTTTGTAGAAGCTGGAGGGCGATACAGGAGGCAGGGACAGAGTTTAGAAGAAGTGGCGTTTGGAAGAATGGGCAAACAAGACGATCTAGATATAACTGAGAGATTGCAAGGTGGCAAGAAAAAGTAATTTAATTTTTTGGGTGTTAGTAGCTGCATGGGCGGCCCGAAGGGCAAGCTGGCCCTGTATGTACTTTATGATGGGTTTGCATTGTATTAATAACCGTTATACTGGGTGTAGGATTGCCCGTTCGATATGTGAACGCTGGATTCTTCGATTTTCGTTATGCTCTATTTGTTGAACAATCTTTCTAAGCAGTCAGAAGATTCAGCATTATCTTTTCATTGAGTATTCTCTCCACATCTGGGAGTACCTTGGGTGCCTCATGGGCTTGTCGGCATCATTACAAACTCCACCGAGTGGAAATTATCAGCATGCGGAAAAAGCTCATACACCGCCTCTGCTCTAGTTGGTTGAAGCAGAATAAGGAGAACAATCATCGAAACTGGCACTTACTCCACAATTGACTGCACTAGTGTACCCTGCGGGTTATCCGGACCGAGACGTCTCTCAGTCGCCGAATCAATGATATTTCAAAATTAGCGCGTGTTTAGCGCCAATGTGGTATGTAACGCTGTTATTTAGCTTACCACGACGTTAACCAGAGAGAGGGAAACCCATGAATTGGTTGTTGGAGCACGACTGTGTGAGTAACGTAGACGGCTGCGACTCTACCGAGATTTGAATTTTACTGCCGCAGTACGTTTATTCCCAGAACATGGGTCTTCGCGATAGGGAACTGTATGTCCAGTGGACGCGAATCCGTCAAAGGGCCAAAAGGAGATGCCGGCGGGAATGAGGCAAGACGAAGTTTAAAACTTGACTACAATAACACATCCAATGCTATCTCTGGCAGGTCAAAGTGAGGGGTCCTATTAGGAAGCCGGAACCTGTTTCCAGAAGAATTTGAAAATGCGCACTGGAGCTATGCCGTGTGGAGTTGGTAATCAATGAACAGTCAATCATACCCCCTCGCTCACAAACCTCTCCACGACGATTTTATGAGGCGCATAAGTTCGCTGACTTCTAGTGCGTGCGGAGCAATTCTGGAGCGAGAGTAATCAATCGCATTGGGTTTGATGAGTGGTTGTGGTGGGTGATGCTGGTGAAGAAACTATTCAAGCTTTTCAAGTGTCCGGTGCGCGATTTGAGCCCGCAGGCAAATCCAATGTTCAAATGATTTGCTGCGAACTCCGTGGGGAGTAGACGAACAATGTTCATGTGATTTGCGAGCCTTCTCTCTTCGACATGCTGGGATTGTGGCGTCGTAGCATTAGTGCACAATCCTGTGTGGATTGCACTCTCGTTCTCGGGAATTTAATGCCCGTGTTGAGTTTGGTGTCGGCGATGATCTATGGCCGATTGCGTTAGGTCAAACTTCAGAGAGGTTTGTTGATGAGGCCAAGATTGGTGGACAGGTCGGAGTTTTCAGGTGTCTAGCTCTAGGGCGAGCGTCAGGCAGGTGTAGTCAATCTTTGAAGCGCCAAACAGGGTTGGGCACACTCTGCTATGAGCGATGGTCTCTTTCTGTGTCTATTCCAAGAGATCGGATCTAAGTTGCTGACTCTGAAGAGTTCTTTGTGTTCTGAGTTTGTCGTTATCTTGGGGGTCCAAACGAAGTACTTGGAGGATGCAACCTTTGAAGCATGCGATGTCGCCAGTTCCTGGTATGTATCTAGCAAACCAATCCAGTATCCCTCATGTTTGTAGCACACTCAATACAAATGTCTTCTGTCTATCTTGGCTACATTCCACCGAGGCCATCTTCCCTAACCCCACACTCGATTGTGGTTAACTGAGTTGGAGCTTACGTTCTGCGATAAGAAAACGTGATTACTCAAAAGAAGTCCATAATGATTTTTTGTTGTTGCACTTGACTATTCTTGGTTCGTCCCGCTCACGGACGCATTGAACTTGAAGTTCGTAATTTTACTTAGTAAACAAGAGGAGTACTTATTTAGCAGTTCATGCAGCGTCGTAAGCTTGGCAAGGATGTTACAGTAGCTAAATTAGTTCGAATTATGTTTTGTTTGGGGTGCACAGATGGAGCGGGCGCTTCACCGGGCGATGTTCAATATCCGATGTTTCCGTCCCTGTCGAATATGCCAGCTACGAGGTAAAGATTCTCTTTTGATGGTGAGCTTGTTAAGATGAGAAATTTAGATCCACATTGATTTGGTTTTTGTTTTTAAGGCATCCTTTTCAGTTTGCGATTGTGTGGATGGAATATTTTTTCGAAAATTAGAATCTTGAAACCTCTAGATTCATTGACACGTAACGTAGTCATTCATGCTGCACGTATGTGTCTTTCCGACCAAGTAAATTATACTCTGAATTGATTTCTTTCAGTTTGATTTCCTTGAATTTGCACCTTGTGCAGAGTCACGTCACATCCATCCAACCTCGACGAGAACATTCTGTTTAACCCACGCTCCACACTTGGGTCTGTGTCTGCGTCAATCATGGCTGCTTCGGCAAGTGAGCCAGCACGGAAGGCAGTGCCTCGCCAGCTTGACTTCACGTCTGCCTATGGAAGTCCCTCCCAATCTCCTCATCGTTCGCCAAGCATGTAGGACTTCTGGTCACATGGTGACACAACTTAGCTCATTTTTTCTGATGTGCTACTACATCTTGAAGAATGTTATGTTCATGTAGTCTCTCCTTATGCCCAAAAGACAGTTATACGTAGACCTGTGCAGTAAATTGATGGGAATCTCGTGAATTGTGATGGAATTATTCTCCCTGTGTACCTTCATACATTTATGAAAAGATGCACCACTGACTCCTCTCACGTCTGATTTCTTGATGTCTCTGCACTGGTGTGAAAGACCAGAAAGCATAGTTCTCCACGGAGACCAGTATCACGCTCCCGATCAGCTTTGGATGGCAAAGACGGAACCCCTAAAAAATGCAAGCAATGCAACTGCAAGAATTCCCGTTGCTTGAAACTGTAAGCAGATACTTATCCCACGCTTGTTGCATTCTACTTCAAGTTACCTGTTTCTTTTATCTGCGGTGGTATGCTGGAGGACGTGATGCAGGCAGTAGATATTGACTACGACTTCTTATTCACGCTGAATTTAACAAAATATGATCATGGTGTGGAATGTCTCAATCATACTCTGCACTTTTGACATTCTTGGAGGCTTGTGAGGCAGGTATTGCGAATGCTTTGCATCTGGAACATATTGTGATGGTTGCAACTGCGTTAACTGCTGCAACAACAGTGAACACGAGGTGGTTAGGCAAGAGGCTGTAGAGGCGACGTTGGAGCGGAATCCAAATGCATTTCGCCCAAAGATTGCTAATAGTCCTCGTATTCTCCATGACGGGAAGGTATATACCTGTGCACTTGTTCATAAAATGATGTTCATTGTATGAATCTTTGTGATTGATTCTAATCTGCCAAGGTATGCTGAAATTGTCACTACCTCGTCTTAATTGCTGTATAGGAAGATGTCGTGGATCGCAACGGAAGCGCAGCAAAACATAATAAAGGATGTCATTGTAAAAAGTCGGGATGCTTGAAGAAGTATTGCGAGTGCTATCAAGCCAACATACTATGCTCAGAGAATTGCAAATGTGTAGACTGCCGAAACTTCATCACTAGTGATGAGAGACGTGCACTATTTCCAGGTGATCCTGCACTGGGCTTGAGCTTTGTGCAACGGCCTTCTGGATGTGCGTCAGGGCACATGTCGCCATTGTCGAGGAAGCGGAAAACTCAGGATGTGGAGTACATCATGCCAGGTTTACAGACAAATAAGGTGAGATGGCATTGTGATTATGCCTCGACTTGATTTTGGAGGTATGCTGGAAATCAATCCTGATGGCGAAAGGTCTGGAGGCATCAGGTCTTTGGTTAGAAGTATGTGGGACCATTAGCAATCTTTGGGCGAAATATTCTAAATATCTTTTGTATAGATCACATCGATGCATTGGTCATTTGAACTTTTCTGAAAGGGTGGATACAAAAAGTCATTTCGCATTAATCATCTTGTTTCTGGCTCAGTCAAACCTTGTGAAGGTAGAAAACCATGCTGCAACTACTCCAAAAATGTCTATATACACTGCGTCTGCGGAACACATTCCAGAGCCAATGGTGAAAGTTGTTAACAGGTAGCATCTCTGTTTGCCGATGCTTCAATGTTGCAGTTCTTGTGGATTAAAGCCAAGTCACTATTTTGACCTCCGAATGGTGCCTTATCGTAAATTATACCTGAATGTTCGCTGCCCCTCAACTTTCACCTTTTGGTGTGACCTATTTTAGACGAATTTTTCTTAGTTTCGTGATACGGTTGGTGCTGAACTCCTTTTCGTGGCAGATCTTTGCTGGCGGATGTCCTGCACACAGATGTCATACAGGACCTCTGCAAACTTCTGGTCATTGTATCTGCGGATGTCCAGCATGAAGTATCAGGTTCGTTGTTTACAGTCGTTGCGCCTCGTTGCTCATGTTGGTCCTATTTACCAGTAGAATAGTAAACACCCTCACAGATGACCAAGACGACATTTCATGTTTGAAGCAGTATCTCCGTTCTCTGACTGCTTAAATAAGCTTTTCTCTTATCAACAAATATAATTATTATTTTTTCTTTCCCTGTGCTCAGGGATTCCAGCTGTGGACAATGGAACAAACAATGCCTCGACTGTGGACCCAACTAACACTGAGGATTGTCCATCTGGTAAGGAGCCTTCTGCGCCTGCTGCACCTGACAGACTCCAAGCAGAGAGCACTGGAACAACGATGGCGGAATATGTGAGAAATGATCCAACAAGCACTCCACCAGTGGCTGCCGTCCGCACCGCACCAAGTCCTTCAAACCAGGCCTTGGATGTCGTCGCAAAGAGGGAAGAAACACGTAAGGAAAGACCGATGTCGCCGGGAACGCTCGCATTAATGTGCGATGAGAAGGATCCTTTGCTTACAGCTCCGTCTTCACCAGCACATGAGAATCAGCTGCACGTTGTCCAAGAGCGAGTCATCTTGTCTGAATTTCGGGACTGCTTACGAAGAATCATTTCAGTTGGAAACAGAAGAGGTTGGTCAGCTTTTCCCTGCCATAACCTAGCAATTTACGTTTTTGCAGCTCTTTCTCGAATTCCTCGAATGTTAGTCGAACAAGTTGTTTTCTATGATGTTGTCCATTCTAGTGGAGACGGAGTGTTATAAAATTTGGGCTCACGGTTTTGGGTTTTTGCATGATGCAGCATATCAATTATCAACCGAAGCTTCTCATGCCGAGATGGTGTCTGCTTCGAAGCACCCCACTGGTCTCAGCACCCACACTCTAACTCCGTCGACACTCACCTTGCCGGGGCCTTCGAGCCTTGATCTGCAACTCCAAAGCACACCCTACAATGCCAAGTTGCGAATCTAGCATTCATCCAGGATTCTTTGGTTGCTTTTTGGCCCCGAGTTATCTGCCCATTTCTGCTTGCTCTCAGCATTTGGCCGGACGGGCTTCGATCGTGACACAGTCGCTGGTTGCCGCTGACTTCCTACGACGAGGCCTACTCGCGGAAACTTTTGTAACTTACCAGACATGTGACTCACTCATTCACAGTCGGTACAGGAGCACGTTTTGGTGAGGAGGGGAGTGTTTAGGATCCGTGGCTCTTCCACGTTTGGCATTGCGATTCTCCATTTCTGGGTGCCGGTAGTCCACCCCACATGGGTCCTTCGCATTGGATCATATCAAACGCTGAGCTTGTCCCACTTAGAGATCGTTGCCGAAACATCATCGTATCACTTCCCCTCTGCAAATCCTCGGATGCTGTTCTTGATTCAAGACTGGTCTGCAATTATTCACACAATTGATCATCACAAGTTCGTTATTTCGTTCAGTTATTTTTTCTTCGTCTCTCTTGTACTTCCACCCCAAGGAAAGAAAGAAAAGAAGAGGGACTGGAGGCGACAACCACCTCAAGTACATTTATAAGAGGAGCAACAAACGACAAAGGAATCGTAGGGTACTTACAATGCATTTGCAAGTTTATTGCATTACGTTTGTTTTCTAATTTGTGAAGTCGACATGCGTGAAGTATGTTTCATGCATTTGGAAAATATAATATTTTGCTAAATGGATTCAACAATTGTTCAGTCGAAAAACACTTTAAACTCCAAGTTAAATAGCCCTCTGTTGACCCTACTAAGTGTCTTGGACGACTCAGGCAATCGTGGAGTAGTTGGTGATACTTAAATTATCGAAGTCAATGTGTCATATTATAATCAGCTTAAATAATAAAAAAAGAAATCTCAAGACAACAAACTGGTATCAAATAAGAACTATTTACTACTATCTTAATTAAAGCGTAATACATTATATAAATAACAAATTTCCAAACCTACTTTCTTTCTTTTTTTTAAATCGTGGATGAAAAAGAATATAAATAAAAAAAATTGAAAGAATTATTTTGGTGCAGGTAAACTAATGCTAACATTGAGAGTAATTGATACAATTCATTTCACCTATTGAACGTTGGTCTCACGAACGATGACGCCAATCCACCTCGACGTGGGCGGCACTGGCAGCAGCTTTCATTCGACCTTCTGAACCGAAAAAAGTGATGAGTGAATGCTGTCAAGTCATCTCATTTAGAATTGTGGTTGGCTATTCTGTCCCTCAAAAATAATACACGTAGCTGACAATGGTTAACTCAGCTTTTTCCAGTTACGTAAACCATACACTCAAAAAATTTCCTGATTGTTTTGCTGCACAATTCAAGCGTAACAGCGTTTTTTACCATTATTTTTGATGTTACGATTGCACAATACTATTTTCACTTTAATTATGTGCAATTGGGCTTTACTTCTTGTTTTGCAAATTCGCATTGCGTATTGCAAAGTAGTGCACTTCACATTACATTGTACGGTTTGTGATGAGATTATCTACACCAAGAAGTGGATTTGCTTTGGGTATAGTGTCAAGGGGCACACAACGCTCACGACTCTGATATAGATTGTGATTGTTACATTCGATGTTATCCACTCTCTTCGACTCATCTGTATTAACTTGAATCAGTGTGTCAAAGGTAAACAGCCCAATAAATTATACTTTCTTGTGCTTTCAGTGACGAAGAATCATATCCGATAAAACAAACTGGTAACCATGGAATTTATACTGCCTAGTTTCACAAGACTGCTGCTGTGGCAAATCGCTAAGGCAAATGATTTTATGTTTGGGATTGCGCAATGATTGTCATTTTCCATCGTTAAGGTCTGGAATTGTTCCTGCCAATCAGACGTGTATACTTACAGGGTACCTACCCTTTGACGGTTATTTACATGCATTTTGAATACAAACACCCTTTTACATGCATGTACACACGTATGAGCATTGTAGTTGCCCTCTTAGCCTACATTGAAACATCGGCATCAGTAGTAACGCTGTACATCGGTAAGGTATCGTGAAGCCTTAGCCAGTCTTTGTAAGTTCATTGGGATCCACATTCAAATCCACACCGAGAGAGCACCAAGTGGGCACCTTGTTCAAATTTCCCCGTGCTTTAATACACGTTCCCATGTTGTGCGCATACCTAACCAGGTCGGTGGGTCTTCCTCGTTGCCAAAGAGTTCTGTGTCTGATGCTTTCAAACGCCGTTACTGCTTCAGTCCCCGAATTCTTCCGGAGTCGTCGCACATTTTATCACCATTTCATTTCATGATCAGATGTAGGTGACAAAAAAAATGGAGCACCGAAGACATAGTGAGAACTCTCCACGAGCTGATGTCCTAAGCTTACATTCTGGCATTTTCATCTAAAGACACTGTTAGATTCCCTCAATCAAGAGACCGTTTGCTCATCACATGTTCAGGATTAGCATGGAAATTATCATCCTTGGGAACTGATTCGTAAAGAGACGCTTCTGGGGAGACAAAATATTCGCCTGGCAGTACACACCATTGCGACCGGCGCAAGTGGCAGCATTCAATAGTTGTGCAAGTTAAACTTCCAAAACATTTTAACCACAAGAGGCTTCACCTCATGTTCGCAAAGGATGGGCACCCTGCTCATTGAAACAGCGAATGCATGGAACTTTGCGATCACGGCATGTGCATACAACAACAAAACCAATACCACTTATCAAAGCTTTCCCTGACGACTAGCACAGCTTGACGAAACCAGCAATGTCAAGGAGCCAGAGTCTTCAGAGAGCGAGACTCAGCCAAGATCTACAACTACAAATGGATGAAAATCACGTGATATGACATAACATCAAATACCTACGGGTTCAACGCACTAGCTGACGCGGAACCGCAAGGAAGTGATACTAGCACTGTACTGGCATGATACTTCAGTCAAGCTGAACGCCAAGGTCGATCAGAAGATCAGAAGCTCAGATACTCATGTCAACACAGCACCCACAATCGTGAATGAAGGGACTGGCTGGGTACTTAAAGGAAATAACCCACTGCAATCTTCAAGGGGAGCGATTACGGCGGCCGTTTCGAAAGCCCTAAATCTGAGAGTTTCTCGACGATTATCCCGTGCTAGAAGCCAGAGGCGGTGCTGGATGGACCGCGACCGAGACTGCTCGCACTGGGTCAGATCGTCTCCACAACTGCTCTGAATCCACGGCTTTAGGGCTCGTTCCGGGTGTCAATTAGAACAAGATGCTGGGAATGAGCCGGAAAGATTCGGGGTTCCTAACACGGATATCATTAGAGTTTGCATTCACTCTGACTGGTTAAATGGTTCACACCCACAAACTGGTAAGCATCAATCTAATGTATGTATGTACTTGACGGAAGTAAACAAATCTTAGCGTAGCTCATATAGTGTAGATTCAAATCACTTGAGGTGTTTAAACAATAGATATGCCTTGTTGCATTGGACGGTTCGCACAAAATTTAGCTGAAATATTAGAAATGTAGTACTCACACAACCCAATAATGTATAATCTCCAGTTCAGTTTTTAAGTCAGTTAAGTGTGAGCTTAATTCATCACCTGGAGCTTAAGAACTGCAAAGTCACACACCAAGGCACTGTATCACGTTACTATCCTAATAGCTCATCAAATTTATTAGATTGTTAAAAAAAGGAATGAACCAACCTAAAATAATGGTTAAACATGTGCAGCGCCGTTGGTGCAGAACGAGCCTGGTGTGGTAGCTGTTGTGAAATCAGTACTCGTACAAACTGGTGTCATGAATAATCGTGCTGTGAGTGTGACGGATGTGGTATAGGGCGTTACTTTTGAATGAAACCAATTATCAGCCAAATTGTCAGTGTTGTGCTTGCCATGATTTTTCTGCAATCTCCTAATCATGACCAGTGAGATGTAACTTGTAATGCCTAACCCACCGGCACAAATGGCCTAAAACAGGTCTTGCAAGAAGGAATCCGATGGCGCAAACCCGTGTGTTGGTGATCGTGAAGGTTCACTTCTCGATGCCAGAAATTGGACGATTTGCGACTGATTCTGGGGATTGAGCGTGCTTTCAGTTGTCGAAAGAGATCATTTTGATTCCCGATTTTCAGTTTCTCTGCATTGTCGACTTGAAATACACCACACAAATAAACCCGTAATTGTAAGTTATCGCTTCGTGTTAAAAAAAAGTTCTTGCACATTTTAAAAAATTCAACCAGTTGGAAACTTTCCGAGGACAAAAATTGTGGTTGAACGAGCAAAATATCAAGTGCTGGTTAGTGTTTGCAAGTTCCTCTACCATCATCAATTGTAACGGTGTCTACAGAACCATGTTGCACCAAATTCACCCGCCTGTTGAAAGGGATAAGCTCTAGCCACAAACGCACCGCTATGCGCTTGACATCATATTTTGGCTCCCGTGTCCTTTCCATCTCAATACAACCAGCACTACAAAGATCCTATACAACATGGAATTTCAGACACCTTAGAAGGTCTCCTGTCAAATTACAAATGACAGACAATTGTGGATTAGTCATCCGAACTTAAGATCGATGTACAAGATTCAACTTTTTGCTCTGCAGTTGAATCACCACTCAATTCCAGGACATGTTGCTGACGATCATAACTACTACCTATTTTGGAGTCTGCTAGAAACGAGGAGCTGTATTCTCCTCGACGAGGTTTATAATCAAAACTACAAAAAGTTTCTGGCAATCTCTTGCGGTTATTATTTATATCATTGTTATGGAGCTCGGTAACTTTCCACACGGTTTCTACGGCCATGTGTTGCATTCGTACCAAAGACGCTAGGCTGCCGATGAAAACTTAGGTAAAGGGTCGTCGCGACTCCGTAACATCAGCTTGGGCTGTTTACATTGCAGAGTAAATTGGTCCGAGCACAATTTTGTAAACAATATTGTCTTCCGCGCAGAAGTCTCTCATGAAACCACTCGTGATCCCCGCATATTTTATCAACATGTAAGTAGGGTCTGCAGTCACCTGATTCCTTGACCGCTGTCGATATGGCTACGTGAACTTCCACAGTTGCTGCCTCAGGTTCACAACATCCCAAATCGTTAGTAGCAAATAATTCAACATTGCAAACAACCTCGGCGAGGAGCTGATTACTCAAAGAACCGAATTCACATTAGCGCTTTCAACTACAGTAGTGAAGTTCAGTTTTCTTTTTTAGTCACTTCGCGACAATAGTAATATCGACATTCTAGAACACGTGTGGATGTGAATACGTGCCTTCTCACACCTTTAAGCACAAGATCAGAGGGAAGCCGTGTTCCTTCAACAAAGATTTTGCGACTTCATCCATTCTTTTGAAACTTTTCGAAACGAGAATAAGGTAGACACCGTCTCAGAGAACTTGCTACGCCACAACCAAGCCCACACCACTAGATGCGTCGGTGACGAACGTGTACTTACCTGGCAAATCGTCCATGAAGGGACTGTTCGTCCATGTCAATGCGAACAGGAATATGGTAGCCACTACACCAATGACAATTCATACCGAACTGGATTTCCATATTGTCATGGTTTACGACCAGTTCTCTTGCAATCTGCTCTTCCGTCACAAGCGCAAATCACAGGCTCACGACGCGTCACACAAGTAAAAACAAGAGAGCAACCACGTCGTCGAAGCAGGAGGTGTAACAAGAATCTCGAACCGAAATTCAATCCATCGCCTCGTAATGACACAAATGAAGAACGACTCACAAGATCATCTCGAGGCGAAGAGGTGTCGTGAGCCTAGCACACGTACTCGTCATGCAAACAGCATTGCGCCTCTCTCTCGCTCGCTCCGCAAGACTGTGAAGACTAATTCAATTCGACTGTGAGTAGCCGGAGAATAGTGCAGGAGATTGCAACGGCGGTTTGCAATGAAGAGAGCTGGCGAACAGGGAGCGACATTACGCTAGAAAGAAGGTTTGAGTCCAAATTCCCGGCGAAGATCGAAGCGAGCGAGCGAGCGAGCGCGAAGAATGAGCACCCTCGTCGTCGTCGGCGTCCTCGCAACAGCCCCTGCTCCCGCCCTTCCCTGCCGCCGCGACCGCTGCCGCGCGTTTGCGTCCAGATCCTGTTTGAGAATCGGTCTCCACACACCTAGAAGTTATTTATGGATGTGTGCGAGTGTGGGGGGGTATTGAGCATGGTTAGTTTGTGACAATTGTTACATTCACTCACTAATAATTTCACCAAGTTGGTATTAACTGAATTGAAGATCTACTATGTCTTGCACTACATTTGAGGTTTTTGAAATTTCCATTTATTGTGGGAGGCACTTACAATATTAGAAATACAAGGATATTTTTTTGTCTTTATTATATTATTTTTAATAATATTTCTTTTAAAGGAAACATATTTCGTACTTAAATTTTTTCAATTAAGGATATACTTTTTATTGTTTTGTATAGTTTTTTTTTATTTTGACATGATTTGAGATAAAATTTGAAGGTTGAAATATCCTTTCATAGCTTTAAAAGCCATAGTAAAATCTATTATTTAAGACAACTTGCATATAACACTAAAAAACAAAGAAGTCTTTTGATTGGCCATGAAGAAGGAAACATGGAGAATTCAAGAAACATAGAAATCAAGAAATGTATATTTAAATAATTACAAGAAAAGTATATATATATATATATATATATAAATTAGCAAAAATTTTAACTTGCATTCTGATTTTTTATCTACAAAAGATAAATTATCTTTTGAGTATTTTAACACAGTAAATCAAACCACCAATTGTGGTGCAAACATTAAAAAAAAAAAAAAAAAAAAAAAAAAAAAAAACTTAGTGTTTTAAAAAAATATATAATTATATTTTTCTTGAATGGAAGAAAATTACATGATACAACAATTGCCATTCAAAATATACAATTGAAAGCAAGATAAATAAATCAAAATAAAAACCATGTGTTTTTAGTTTCACAAAACCTTTTTTTTTTTTTTTTTTTTTCTCTCTCTCTCTCTCTCTCTCTCTCAGAATAACAGTTCATTATACTCAATAATTATGAATATGAAATTCTTTACTTTAAGTTATTGATATAATATTCAATTTCTGAAACTAGTTATTAAATAGTATTATGTAATCTTTTACATCAACTTGATATAAAAAGTACAAATAATTAATAATATTTAGAATCTTTTTGACAATTGTTTTTGAAAGAAAGGTTTGTATAAGACGTTTTTTAAAATTGTAACAAAATTTATAGAACAACAAAATTTAATTTTTTTGTAATATCATTTACACATTACTTAGAACTTTTAATTCTATTTTACTTTCAATACAATACTTGAAATAGGAATTACATCCAAAAAATGCATATCCATTTCACTTCTTAAATCACACATGTCCAATCATTATGTCCATAACAAAAAATAAGAATATAACTCTTTTTTCACAAAGTTCTCAATGGTTGGTAATTTCACAAACATTGTGACAAGTTCTATATCTAAAGTAATAGTCATCTATCTCTTAAACAAATAAACTACACCGTTTGCCACTTGCAAAGACAAGAATATTCCGAACAAAACATCTAACTTTGTACGAAAGTTATATCTGTTTAGAGCTAATCAAAGAAATCCTTACCTGAGCAACCCACAAGATATATGTAAGCATGTTTGAAATGAAGCAAACAACAATGACGATTGCAATGAATTGAATCCTCAATCTCTACCTTGATAAAGGCCCCAAAGCAGCCAAACGTTTAGTGCAAGCTTGAGAAGTGCAGTTGTGTAGACCTCAAACTGATTGGGAAGATGCGGCATTGAGGGAGGCGAGATGATGACACTGAAGGAGATGCACAGCGGAAGGAGGTTCAACGCCAAAGATGAAACAACTGGTAAAAAACAGAGGCAAGAGGCAAGAAGAAGTAAAGCTTGGCCCACTTGTGCAGCTTTGTTTGCTCGGTTGTTCCTTATCTGCTTTCGTCGAGAGGATGCTGGATCGCTCCCTTGCTGCAGCTCATCAGGATGCTTACAATTGACAATCGAACTTCCTGTACGACTCAAAACAGTTGCTTGTTGTCTAGGACCCAGGAACATGAGATTAGCCCTTTGATTTAGCAGATAATGAGTTGGCCCACACACCCAGTTTGGTGCTTATCCCGTTTTATTTGCGTCAGAACGTTGACTGCATGTCTTGCAGATTTCAGAGTCTTGGTTGCGAGAGGAAATGACTGAACTCAAAGCACCATGGTCGAGAGCAAAAATCGCTTGACACCGAGACTCTCATCATTTTTAGCAATACTTATCTCGTGATGAAACTTCTTTGTATGTTGTATTTCACGAATAATGGCTTCTAAATGTTTGCTTCAAATTTACCTCGAGGGTGGCCGTTTCATGCAATAACAAAGGGCAGCAAACATCACTGAGCTGTGGATCGTCTTCTTCAAACGGCATCTCCCCCGCCTTCCAAATGAAGCACTGTTCAGATGCCAAGCTTCCTGCAGAGAAATACATTGATGCGTTGATGTTTCCAGTGGATCAAATTAGTTGGCCTAAAGAGGAAATTGACCTCACATCACATTGTAAACTTTTGACAGGGTTTGAGGTTCGCCACAGCAAGCATTCTTCTGACAAACATGCTTCAGAATCATCCACCACATGTGAATGCCCTAATTGTCCTGTAACAAGTTCACACTTGAAAGGTGTCGGTTGCAGACGAAGAAGAAAGGAGAGGCCAGATGCAGATCCTTTCGTTCATGATCTTGTCTGATATTCCTGAAATTTCCAGAAAAAGAACAGTATCGTGTCGTAGCAATTAAGCAGAACATCACCTGTTCCTGGCAAACACTCCTGCCAGTCAACTCGTGACAGCGAAGGGGTATCAGTAACTCGAATACACCACCGGGACGGATGTTTTCCTAGGCCTGACTATTGATGATGCGGCACGGCTCCGAGACCCCGATGATAACACCTTCGATCATGCACAAGATTAAACAGTGTCCCTGTGAGTTACTTCCTCGTAAGTGTGAGAAATGTGACTGCTACGTGCTGCACCAGAGGCAGTGAGTGCGGTGTCAGTGGCGCGTGGATGACTCAGTGAAGCTAGCACTGCGAAAAGCTTGTGATCCGCTTGAGGAAATGTTGTAACCTGTGAAGCGAGCAAAGCAAATTAATTTCGTCTCGGTTCCTGATCGTTCCAGCAGCGTCGGGTTCACATTATCGATGGTAAGTGCCGATCGGTGGGCCCATCCTGCTTCGAGCTTCAAACCCACCCGACGAAAAGAAACTTCGTCTGACTCGCCACCCGTTCCATTACCCCAACTTCCTACTTCCGCCCACCTGTCTTGGAATGAAGCCGTTGTCAGACACCAACGTACTCCATTCTTATGTTCAACGGCACAGCCGTCCAGGTTGACCAAAGCATTTTCTAACCAAGACCAATTGAACGATGCTGCACTCTACTCATAAAATACACCCATTTTGATGCTTTGATCTCTCTGTAACGGGCGACAACGCACCACTAGTTGATTCCACGAATTGGAAACGGCATCAGGAAAGACAAGCAGCAGGGTTCGCAGCTGTGGCGCGTCTTCGATGGGCTGGACTCGATCTTCGGAGAGGAACTATAGGCCCAGCGTGGAAATACTCACAAATCCAAGCAGCCGGCATTGCATGGTACTGTGCCATGGAAACCTGATTGAATAATCAGTCACAAACCCATTACTCACAACGTATCGATGCATCTAGCGCCACGCTGCAACCGACAAAAATCGCTCCGAAATCGATTTCATGAGTGAATTGCGTGCCAGGACTTGAGATCAAAGCCAATCTGCGTAAGAGCGAGGCCCCACAGTCCAACTCTCATCCCTTTAGCCTCTGCTGTGTGAACAAAGTCAAGGCCAGGATAGTGCCATTATTGTGTTTCGCGCACACGCTGTGTGAACAGGGCTCTTGTGATGTCAAGTTCCGACCGAACCTTGTTTTTATCTAACGCGGTGTGAATGGGGTCTCTAGGTGCACAAGGGATGAACGGATTTATTGACGAAAACTCTGTTCGTAACTTTATTGAAACATTCTTTACAAGAAATTTGGCATTATAGTTTGCTCTAATCTCTTTTCACTTTCACTTTTACTTTTTTCCCTTTTGAATAATATATGCAGTCATTGTAAATGAATAAGAAATAAAATTATCAACTTCAATTTATTGCCAATTTCTTTTTTGCTTTTGAACAAAGTCTCATCATAATAATAACAATAATAATAATAATAATAATAATTCAATCACTAAAAAACTTTATTATAATTTCTTGGCACAAACAAGTTCAGAAAATTATTTCTATGGGAAATTTCTTATCCTTGTCATTGTTATATGTAATTTTAGGGACCACTTTAATGGTATCTTATTTTTGAATACATGTCTAAACTATTTTTAAAATGTATCAACATTCAGATACTTTTGTTATGTTAATAAAAATGCAATATGGAAACAAAAACATTGATAAGTCAGGTGATGATTCATTTGAGGCATAATTAATTGAATTGAAGATTTATATTTGACGTTCTACAGTTCATCCAAAAACTTTGTAATATGTTTCAAAAATTTGGATTTTTTTTTAAAAATAAATATAATAAATCAAACCCAGCTACTAAATTCATTTACATGTTATGTCTTTTATTTTTTAGTTTATTCACATGACCCTCAAATTCCACTAGAAAAAAAATCATTCAACCTATTAAAACTAAAAGGTCAAAGACTAAAAAGTAAAAATATAACACTAATGCTTAGAGATTGTGTGACTCTTACAAACACAATTCGTCGATGCAGTTTTTAAAAATTCGAATACAAAATCACTTCTAAAATCTTACAAAGAGGCCATTTAAATAGACTTCACTCAATTTTAGAATAGAAACAAATTAGAATTTAGAAAAAGCTACACATATATGTTAATTAAAGTAATCATTTAGAACTTATATTTCAAGAGAGAAAATAACGTATACATTAGCAAGATCCGTTTGAAAAGAAAAGAAAAAATAAATCCGTAATTATTGTTTCTCAAGCATACCTCAATTCATTTAATTCCTAATTAAGAACTAATTTTAATTATGTGCTGATTGTCTCTATGTTATTCTATTTGTGTGCATATTATTGAAACCTCGTGAAAGACATTGTATGAAAACACAATTTTACAAAATAAATAATTAAAAGCCTACAAACAAAATTCCAATGAAATTTTAAAATATATAATAATGTTTAATATTCTCCTCGCACAATTCGTACTTAAATGGATAGAACTTGTAAAATAATTAACAAAAAATAAATAAGTTTTTTGGTTTGAACTTGTATTAATACTCGTAACAATAAAACTATTCAAAAAATGTTTAAGAAGCCTAAAATTTTGCAACTAAACAAAATTCACTTCTGTGCCTATATATATATATATATATTTATATATCACCAAAATAACCACCTACTCTAGTAAAAGTAAGCCGAAACATGATTTGCAAGTAATGTCTTGAGTCGTCACAACTTTCAACAAAAGCAAGTGTCTTTAATTCAAAATTTTAAAAATTAAATCAAAAAAATTAAATCAATATCAACAATAATAATAAGAACAACACCAACAACAATAAAATATTCAATATTTTAAACATGCAACCAATTTCCAATAATAATCAAACTAAATTCATGTGTGATTAATATGTGTTAAAACCATGTCATATTTTGTCCTTTTTTATAACATCTGTAGTCGATTTATTAACAAAACACAACATGGTAAGAATCATACAAAAATTTACACACAAACCACCGAGATCAATTCAATAACATTGATGTTGTAGATTAGACTGTAAGGGAACCAAACATTTTCCTTCAACGCTAAATAAAATTAAGTTGAACCCACTTACACATATGTTTACTTGACAAACTCCTGTAAACATTCAAAAATATTATATATACAAAGGTAATAGATTTGATAGTTTGGACAATTCCACTCAGGAACAGGAGGATTGAGCACCGAAGTAGAAAACCACACCACATCCCATGTTTCTGATTCATTGGTCTCCACCCAAGATTCCAAGTCAATATTTTTATAATAAAATTGCTGCCAAGTCATGCCCAGCTCATTTCATGCGATTCAAACCGACTGCTCCGCAACATCGATACCGACTAACTTATTCATATGCTCGTGTGTTTGACGACTGTCCATACACCGTTGTCGAAAGTCAACGACGAGTATATGAAGAAATCCAGAGGGTAATGGCATCGCAAACCGGTGGACTCCTCCTATCTAGTTCAGTTGGTGGTGATGGATCCAAGCTCAATTCATCCTGCGGTGCATCCTACTCTTCAGCGCCACGCCGATCAGATCACCTCGAGCCCTACTTCCATTGGATTTATTCCTGTAACAACGATGTTTTGTTCTGTTAGATACGCGCGCCGCATGCTTCGCAATCTAGACCCCCGATTCAACTGCTCTGGATCCCTCGGGTTTTAGTTGGTCTCGCTTCGATGATCTGATCGTTGCAGGTGGTGGTTTCACTGGGAAAGTAAAACTCACCGACTCTTCATGACTGCTTTCCAAATTACCCTTCTCGATCCGAAACTAGGCTCGCAGCAAATCTCATGAAAGGCACGGGATCGGGGCAGATGAGCACGCATCCACGCATCCACACCGAGACTGAAGTGAGATCAAGGCGGAGGGAACCCAAAGAACGAACGCATGGAAGCTTCGTTCCCTGATTCGAACATGTTCTCGAAGCTGTTCCCCTGGGCTCGCACATTGAGAGCGCGCTCGCGAACTCCTCGTGCCCTTGCGCACATGAGCAACAATTGGCGTGATTTAATTCCGAGTGTTATTGTTCATAAGTTACTTTTTTGTTATTGGGAAATAAATTAAAAATTAATAAAATTACACTGGATGTGTGCATGTTCTAATGATATATAATATATATATAGATTTTTATTTTATTTTATTTCATTTTTAGGAAAAGGATTTATGGTTCCATGGAAAAAATCTTGAAATCATTTGAATAAAGGTGGGGTACAATTTATTTTTTTTGGTTTTGCAATTTTTGCTTACCATTGAGGACAAGAATGAGGGAAAAGATGGAAAAGTTCGTTACGCTGTCGTCAATGTACTAAAGTAAGTTGCCATGTCAGCCGCCAGATCAGCACACGTGGGGTCCTGTTACAGACAAAATGCCCCCTCCCATGGAATGAGCAGATACTACTTTTAGAGGAATCTACACTTTTGTTTTCGTTTTCCCCCCCCCCCTTTTTTGTCTTCTTTTGTATATTTTCCGTTTATTGAAAGTGGGGCAGAGGAGCTTGTGCCACACGGGATTGTCTTGCTTCTTCTTCGTATTGTGATCCTCCTCTTAAGAATACTAGAAGAAACACAACGATTTTCAAGCAATTATGTGATAACAAGTAGAAATTTCAAATGAAATGATTGATATTATTATCATTAACCAATCAAGCAATTATTATCATAAGTTACTATGGCTCATTACCCACGCCAACGCAAGAATGAATTTCAGGGAGCATTTAATTTTGAACCTCTTTCACTGGCCCATCCGGTAATATTCCATCCACTCGGGCAGCCAGCCCCCTGGAGGCGAAGAGATCCCGATGCCGACGTGGCAGGTCTCCATCCTGTGGAAAGAAGACACGTCTTAAGGCGCGAAAGGGAGGGCTCCTCCATGCCAGGAGCGACAATCAGCGCCACGGTGGCGAGGCAGTCAGGTCTGCGGGGGAAGGAGCGGGGTGGGGATGAATAGTCTGAACCATCATCTATCTCCGTGAATAACGAACCCAGTGGCTCTTCATCCGTTAGCAGAATCTCGTCGCCAGCTCACGAGTGTGATGGCCAGACGGTAGCCGCGGTCACCAGTCCAAGCATTTCTGCTTCACCAGTTCGGGGGAGCATTCAACCAATTTTAGTTCAATCCACTCGAGCCAAGGGAACCGAGGGGAACTCAAGCGATCGGGGTGAGAGCGAATCCAGTGCGGAGGAGGACGAAGGGGAACGGTTAGGGAACCGTCAACGAACATTGAAAAGGGAGCCAGGGTGGGGGAGGGAACGAGGGAACAAGGAAGTTGGCGCGGAGACGGAAGAATGGGAGCGGGGACGGGTGACCGAGCGGATGGAGGTGGGGGGGGGGATGTGTGAGGACGACGGAGGGCGGGGGGTCAGAAGAAAGAGGGCGGGGGAACGTAGTGGCCGTTTTTGGTGCGTTTTGAGTTGTTGGCTGGCCATGGCATCCGCCTGCCGCTAGCTAGCGCCTTCCCGCTCTCACTCTCTCTCGCACTCATTCATTCACTCACTCGTTCACTCTCACGCACACTCTCTCTTTCTACCGCTCACTGAGTGCTTGACGCTTTCTGACACCGGGACGTTGCTAATCGCCTGCCCCCGCCCCCCTCTCCTCCGTTTTTTTTTTTTTTTTTTTTTTTTTTTTTTCCACTTCTTTTTTGGAAGTGTGTCGGGGTTTTTCGGGGTGAGCTCGCGGGGGTTTTTTTTTGAAAGGGGGACGTCGAGGTGGGGAGAGGTGGGAGAGAGTCCGGCGAAGCGGTGTTGTTCGTTTCGCAGGCAGTGGAAGGTCGGGTTTCGACGAGGGAGATTAGGCAGTGTGAGTGCGGAGGGAGTACGTTCGGTGAGGGGGGGGGAGAGGTAGTAGTGGTGAGTTCGTTTGATTGGGAGAGGGGCCAGAGTGGAGGAGAGTGTGCGATGTGGTGGGAATCAGGGTTTGGACGGGACGGGCGATTAAGTGTGTAGCAGCATAGGGCGGGACCTGGGAGTTCGGCATCATCGAATTGTATCCGTGGAGGGCGAAGCGGTGTAACGAAGTACAGGTGTATGGGCCGGAGGGTCTTGCCGGCCTCGGAAAGGACGCCGCTGAGGGTGGTGCGAGAAGGGTAGGGGAGTTTTAAGAGAGTTGGAGGAGCTCCGGCTCTGCTGTTGTCTCAACATGTCGAAGAACAAAGGCAAAGAGGCTGAGTTGATCGACATTGGCAAGAAACTGGGGAAGTCACAGTCGAAGGATGCCCTGGTCAAGCTGCTGGTGGTAAGTAGTACTTTTTTTAGTTTATAAAAATCAAATGTTTTATGCCCTCTGGTAATTAGTTTTGAATTCAGATGACCAGGCACATTGTGGTTACAGCCACCGTGACAAGAATGCCACAGTACTTTCTCGACGAGTGACTCCGAGAAGCTGCCTTATTTGTTTATTTATTTATATTCATAATAGTAGTGAGGAATGTACGGAACGGGGCATCAGTAGGTTTTACGAACAATCATAGGTACGGGAGGAAATGCAGTAAGGTTCTATCGAGGATGTGGGGAAACTGGCGTGAAAATGAGTACGCAAAGCATCATATTATGCAAATTGTGAACCAATGCGACATCTCAATGTAGAAGTACGAAAATGAGAATATCTCATCTAGGATATAATTTAATAATACCTTGGATCACAAGTTGGAAGTGGACCGAGGATACCTTTTTCTAGGCACCTGGAGTTAGTGTTCGTCACTGGGTTCAAATGATCGGAATAGAGGTAGAGAGACCTGGAAAAGGTTGCATATTGGGAGAAAAGCGGCCCTGTCGTAGAGATCGCGTGAATACCCTGGCGCTGTCTGTATCAGGAGAATCAATTTTCCCGTCTCTTACCCCTCGGCTGAGGTCATTGGAACAGGGTGATTGACCCCATCGTTCTCGGGTGAGGTGTGTAATCGAAGAAGTGTTCAGAAATTGGACGATATCATCCATGCTACTGTATCCTGGTTGACTGGATCCATTGTACTGGCCAGAAGCATAACCACCAGCCCTAGCCCGAGTAGCATTATTCTCACTCTAGATGCGACTCTTTTTTCGAGCCCGTGCAAGTGTTTACATCGGGCGTAGGTAGTGTAGACCTTGTCACCGTGTCCGCAAGTCAGTTGTGAGATTCGGACCAGTCATACCCACTGATGAAACTATTATTGATCTTCTCACCTACTTGGGTTTGTGGTTTAGTCGCTTTTCTCGGCACGCTCAATTTTATTGTGTTGTGTTTTGATATTGTGTCGATATCATTACCTGCAGTTTATTATGCACGTGAGTGCGATTCTGCATCTTGGGTTTCATCCCTATTTTTTCGCCTTTATCTACCGTACGTCAGAATTTATTTGACTTGTTTACAGAGAACTAGTATGGTTTGACCTTGGAGTATTCTCAGAATGTTTTCGCTTTATGTTTCATATATGTCGCATAATTTCTGGATTTGCGACGTCACTTTTGACAATAGACGTTCCTCAGCTAATTTACTGTTTGATGAGGAGTGCCTGCTTGATAACTGACGTTATCAAATTTGACTTACCCATCAGCTGTTGTTACGTATGCCGGCTGATCCTTTCCACTCGTCTACTCTGATCTTCATCTCAAGTGGCATTGTTGAATCATTTGATTCGGTTTTGCATTCCGTAGTACCGTTTGCTAAATCCTGTTTTTGTATGTGTGCAGCAAGCATCTACTTTGCTTGTAGAGTTAGATCAATCACCTCCACAAAGCACTCACAATGCCATGAAAGGGTGCTCTGAAGCTTTAGTGTCCCCATCTTTGTTGAGACACAAAGACAAGGAAGTTGGGCTGCTTGTTGCCATATGCATTAGTGAAATTATGAGGATTGTGGCTCCTGATGCCCCCTATAGTGATGAGACCCTGAAGGTAATTCTGGTACCTACTTTCTGTTTGTCGTACTTGATTGTTGTTGCGTGTAGCAAGCACCAAGTTACAACAATGGGTGTAAAACAGAAACATCCATGACCACTTTAATTATTCGAAATAAATAGGAACCTGTGGCCCGTTACCATATTCTCTTCGTAGCGGAATTGTCTTTTCTTTACGATTTTGTCTTGCATTGGCTGAAGGTGTAACTTTCTGAAATGTCCTTTTCCTATTTTTATTGGCTGATAATTTTGCAGGAGATATTCAAGCTAATTGTCTCCAATTTCAAAGGACTTGATGATGTTAATAGTGCTTCTTTTGGAAGGAGAGTTAGTATTTTGGAGACAGTTGCCAAGGTCAGGTCATGTGTCGTCATGCTGGATTTGGAATGCGATGATCTCATCTTGGACATGTTTGAGATTTTCTTTGATACGGCAAGGTGCGTACCAATGTTCGAATTGAATCAATTCAAAGAAATAAAAAATGTACCTACGGATGTTTCAGCGCCATGGTTCTTCTTCTTCTTCTTCTTCTTCTTCTTCTTATTATTATTATTATTATTATTATTGTTATTATTTTTTCCCTTTTTTCTTACCGTAGTTGAGGACCTATTTGATTTGTTTGATGAAGCTGCCGCAATATTTGCAAACTGGAACAAAATCATCCATTTTGTGGGTTTTGGCAGTGATGAGCAACCTCATAATGTTTTAGTGGCGATGAGAAATGTTTTGACTCTTGTTTTGGAGGAGAGTGAGAAGATTCCAGCTGAAATGGTGGAGGTCATTCTTAAGAATTTGTTGAAGCCCAAGAAGGTATATTTATGTTTGTCTGTGTTGCTTCTCATGTCTGTGTCGTACTATTTTTCAGCATCAAGTGTTAGTTCTCCTGAAATATGTTAAGCATTTACCGTGCTGGACTTTTAAGTTGTTTCTGTTTTCTTGAGCAGGAGGGATCAGCCGCTCGCAAGTTGGCAATAGCTGTTGTGGAGAAATGTGCTGATAAATTAGAACCTTATGTGCGAAGCTTTTTGACTTCCGTAATGGTGGAGGGGAAGAGTCTAGATAGTGGTCTTCACAAGGATCACCATGAAATCATATACGAGCTTTATGGATGTGCTCCTCAGTTGCTCGCGGGCGTTATCCCTCTTATTAATGACCAGCTTGTGGTACAGTCTTTATCTTATAGTGTGCTTTTGAATACGTGCTTTGTAGACTTCGCTCTTCAGATTTTTTCACAATCATAAGGTCTTCCGACACATCCTACATAGCTAAAATGTTTTTGTTTTCGATTGCAGAAGGACAAGGTAAATGTGCGTTTAAAGGCAGTTGACCTTTTAGGGCGGCTATCTTCTCTTCCCGGCCGACAATTCGCACAAGAATACCCACATGTGTTTGCAGAATTTCTGAAGCGGTTCAGCGATAAGGTAGTTGAAGTGCGAGTAGCAGTGGTAAATTGTGCCAAAGTTTGTATAGAGGCAAATCCTACAAGCGAGCAAGCCAATGAGATTATGGGTGAGTTTTCACATTGTTTTAGATGATGTCGTTCACCTTTCAGTCATTTAGTAAGTTTTACAAAAGTGGTTTTCTGACCAGGAAGTATATTTACTAGTTGAGAAAGAGTTTTTGAAGAGTTGTTTAAGTTTTCCTCGTCCGTTTCGTCCTGCTTTTGTGAATTTATAATTTCTTGTTTTTTTTGTGTTTTTCTTCCCGTGTGAGTTTGTAGGTTGTCATATACATCTGGAGCTCACAGCAGCTGCTAGCTACTTGATATGCTTTGTGTTATTCCCGTGTTTCTTCGTCTTGTTTGCCTGTTAATGACTTGGTTGGCATTTGTAGCTGCACTGCAAGACCGACTTCTGGATTATGATGAGAAAGTACGGGTCGCTGTGGTTAAGGCCATCTATGACCAGGCTAAAACTGACTTTAAGTCGGTTCCAACTGACGTTTTGCGTAAAGTCTCTGAGCGGCTTCGAGATAAAAAGGTACTCAATCAGAATATCCTGAATTGTACGTGCAGTCTTTGAATGTTCTGTGTTGACTTGTCTGGTGTGGCCTCTCCTTGGTGATCAGGTATCCTTTTATATCATCTTGAAAGTGACATGCTTTAATATGCGTCGGCGATCTTTGGTAATGCATGATCAGAGAATAACATTACGAAATTGCTTAAGCCAATGGTTTTTTTGAAGCATTACTTTGTATGTGTTACTATGAAGAGTGTGGTAGCCCCTCCAAAGCAGGAACGGGTTCCTTACATCGTGTGAATCTCAGGTTGTGGTTCGAAAGGCTACCTTGGTGAAGTTGATGGAGTTGTATAAATCGTATTGCACCAAGTGCTTGGAAGGTTCCACTGCTCTCGATAAAGATTATGAATGGATTCCTGGCAAAATTCTTCGATGCTGCAATGACAAGGAGTAAGCTGCTCACATATATTTTTTTTACGAGAATTCGATGGTATAGTTGCATAATTGATGTTGGTAAATTCATCCGGAGACTCTTTCGTTCTTAATGTGCAAGCTGAAATCCCGAAGGTGTAAGTTTCTCAACTACCAATGTTGACTTGTGCCTGGAAAGTTGTGAATAGTCTAGAAAAAATGCCTATTTACATTCACGAGTCGGAGAATGGTCTCTGTCATGGGGATGCTTGACCTTATCTATGTATGGTTTATGTCTCTTCTTGACAATGCCTTGCTATGACAGACTTCAGGGCTTGGAGACGATACTCACAGAGCAGCTCTTTCCGGCTGCAGTTCCTGTGGAGGAGCAGTCAAGACATTGGGTTCTTGCGTTCTCTACGCTTGATGACATTGAGAAAAAGGCACTACAGCTTATACTTGTCCAGAAACAAAGGTCGGGAGAATTTGTGCTCTAATGTCATATATATTCAGTTCATTAAATTGTTCGTTTGTTGCGGCATTTTATGAATTTAACAGTACCTCTCTACAGTGGCTCTCACTGGACTGAATAAAACATCGTCTTCTCACTATTTATCAGTGTTGGTGTGCAAACTCATCGTAAATTGTATGATATTTTAGCATATTGGGTAGTGAGTGTATTTGATGGAGGCAAAGCAGAGACAGCACGTGCCGAAATATTTCATATCGAATGCTGAAAGTCTTATGTTTGGGACATTCCTTTGCAGGGTGCAGCAAGAGATGCAGATTTATCTGACCACACGTCACAAAGCAAAGGTGGTTGCAGATTCCATGATGATTTTGCACATTAAAAATCCTGTTATTTTCTTTTTCTGTTGTCAGTTCCTAGCAAAGGGCTAGTGTGCACCTCAAGCTTTGATCTTTATTATTCTACCACTACAACTGCTCCTCTATTTGCCTAACATCATCCAAATCATGATGCAGGAGGAAGAAATTTCAGACCTTGAGAAGAAATTGCAGAGTATCTTCAAAGTTATTGCTAATCATTGTGTCGACTCTTCCAAGGCCGAGGAAAATCTACAAAAGTTGCATCAGATGAAGGATGAGAGTATATTTAGTGCACTGTCCACGTTACTCGATTCGAGTACGGCAGTTGCAGAGGCCACAACAGTTCGGGTATGTTGCTTGTATCTTTTGATGGTAATTTATCACTGTTAGTTTAGAATTTAAAATTTGCATTTGGTGTATGTTGGTGTCGTGTTTTTCAGTTCAGTCATATAGTGTTGTTGTCTCATTATGTGGACATATTTCTGCGCATTTCTGTTGACATAGACTGCCTTTAAAGCAAGTGACCTTGAATATTTTGGTATTCGGGAAATTTATGGTAGTTGTGAAGTTGAAAGAATTGAGCTTACTAGCAGGTTTAATTCAGCTTTATGAAACTCTAAAAGCACAGCTAATCTTGATATTGTTGCTATAATGCTGTATGGTTTGCAGGATGCTTTATTGAAGAAATTAGGGGAGGAGCACGTGCTGTATGATTTTATGAAGAGTCTTGCCACGAAGTGTGGTTATTTTTTCTTTAGCAGGGAACATGTCCATGCAATTATCAAAGAGATTTCTGTTTGTAATGATTCTGAGAACGAGAAAGACCTTGTTCCTACTAGTCTTTCGTTGCTTGTGGTGCGTACAGTGAGATACTTGTGTTATTGCGTTGAATTATTCCTTCCCAAAACTCTTGGCTTAAGTTAAAAATATGCTCTTAACCATATGCAATTAACTTATCGAATTTCTGTTGTTTACAGATGAGCTATCAGTTGTATTGCTATAATTTTACACCATGACATAGACTTATCTAAGTATCTCCTGTACGTATAAACAGGTTCTTACAGGTGTGATCCGATCATAGCTAGACATCTTGTTTCCTCAGTTCCATGAAAGTTTACCCATTGTATATTTTTTGCAGGAAATTGCTGTATATTGCCCAGAGTTGATGGCAGATGCCGAGGAGCACTTATTGACATTGTTGAAAGACCTTAATGAGTCTGTTAAAGAGGGTGCAGTACTGATTATGGCCAAAGCTGGTGCCTCCTTCCGCAATAAAGGTTCCAGAGCTGATGATAGAGGGTAGGAATACCACATAGAAGTAATTCGTTACAAATCGTTTGCATACTGGTTTAGTAACAGCAGTACAGAAGCTTTAATCGTTCGTATCGGTGTTTGATGTGTTCATTGTCTCCTGTTTAGTGTAATTTTTAATGTCTTCTGTTACATGCAGCAACGTCAACCTTGTACTGGAGCAGCTTTGTCTCGAAGGCACCCGCAAACAAGCTAAATATGCTGTCTCTGCAATTGCAGCCATGACTGCTGACTCGGGACTGAAGGCATTGTCTGTGTTGTACGGTGTAAGTTTTCTATTTTTATTTAACACAGTAGCATTCTTGTGCTTCTCTCTCTTCACACATCAATATTGTAGTGTAGAGCTCGTTTCTATTTGTGGTACTGAACTTGTATTCTTTCTTTTGTTTAAAATATACGGCCTTGCTGATGTATGTGGCAGAGACTGGTGGATAAGTTAGAGGACAATACGCATCTTCCTACAATTTTGCAATCATTGGGCTGTATAGCTCAAAATGCAATGCCTATTTTCGAAACGAGAGAAGATGACATCATCAAGTTTGTTGTTCGGAATGTTCTTAGGCGCCCAGCTCCACAGGTTGCAATTTCATATGATCTGGGTAGACTAATTTAATTACGTAAAAGCGTATTCTGTTGCAAGTTTTTCATATTGATATGGCTAATAACGTAACGCCTGTTATGGAGTATCTGCAAATGCTTAAGGAAGTTGTGGGTTTCAAAATGTTTCCGGATTATTGGGTTTCTTCATTGGGCATGCCTCTGATAATAGTCTGATCTGATCTGAGCTGAACCAACCAGTCAGATGGTAACATACGTATCTCATTTGTTGCATTTTTTACAGGATGTTGCTGAATCTACTTCTGATCCTGATACTCCTAGTGACCATGTGCTTTTGAAGGTGGGCATTCTTTTGGTGCATGTTAAGCTTATGTTAGAAAATGTTTTGTCAACTTATTTTGACGTTCTTATGGTAAACTACCCACTCCAAATTTAATTTGATATGCGTGGCTTTAATGTCCCAAAATTCTGAAATATTGTCAGATCTATGCATTGAAAGCATTGGTGAAGAGTTTCCTTCCAAAAATGAATGCGCATCAACGAACAAGACTTCCAGGTCTCCTCAAAGTACTTGTTAAGATTCTTGCCTGTGGAGAAATATCAGATGATATGAAAACAAGGTCAGCTCTACCTATTAACAAAGCTGTTTGTTCGTTAATTTTATTTTCCGTGTATCATCGCCTTACTGTATGTATATCCTTGGCTACCTGTGGGTTTATTACCCACATTGTGGGAAAACATTGACGGTAATGATTTCTTTCATATTCTTCAAGTAAATTTTTGAGTCGTTTCATATTCCTCTTGTGCAGGAAGGTAATAGCTATTTTTTCTGGTGAACTCAGAAACTAAATTGCTAATTTTATTTTACTTTTCTTGTCTTGCAGTGACGCGGACAAAGCTCATCTGCGCTTGGCAGCTTCGAAAGGTGTATTGCGATTGGCACGACGTTGGGACAGTCAAATTCCCATAGACGTTTTTCATATGGTGGTCATGACCGTACAGGTCTGTTTTCTTATTTTGATAGATGCATAAGATGTGACCGTGCAAATTTTGTGAAAAATAAGAACATGAATAGGAACTTGTTTAAATTCAACATTAATTGCTTAGTGATAGCAACAAGGTTTTAAAAATAATACATTCGCCATCTTTCATTGTATTCGAGAGATGTCAAGTATAGGAAAAAAAACATTTTTCACACCTAGAGGACATGTTACGTGAATCTTGAACAAAAGTTTGACGGGATTGATGTACGTAAAGATTTGGATAGGTTGTGTTTCTGAAAGATCAAGAATGTTGTCTTCAGGATCAAGCAGCGCATGTTCGGCGTGCATTATTAAGGAAAATCCACCATTATCTGAGAGATCGGACGTTGAATCTGAAGTATGCTAGCGCATATGCTCTTTGTGCAGTGGACACCGAGAAAGATATTGCCCTAGAAGTAAGTTTGTTACTGATTTTTTCTAAGATCATTGTTATTGTGTCAGTCCCATGTGTTTTTGAGACTATTTAAGATCATGAGCAATCTAAGGGAGTGGTCTGTTTGTGCTGTCAGGTGTAAGTAGGCATAGTTAATGTCCAGTTATTCTGTCCCGAATTTGTGTCAGTAGTATTATTATGCATTTTCATTTACATCTGTCGGTGTATTATGGCTTTGAATGTGTGGCAACCCAGGCCCGGCGCTTTATGGCCGACTTTGTAGACGACTATCGTAAAGAGGCTTACAAAACAGTGATTGGGCAAGCTGAGAGGACAACCATAACGTTGCATCCAGAATATGCTCTTGTGTACCTCGTACATGTCTTGGCTCACCATCCCAATTATCCAGTAGTTTCTGGAGGTTTTCAGCCAGAGCCATCAGCTTATGAACCATTCTACAGGTGCTCTTTTGGTTTTGGTTGTTTACAGAGTTACTTGCTGCAATTTGGACCTGCCTTATGGTGTGTGATATACTAGCAAAGCATCAAGAATAGACTCGAGGGATCGTAAAATGTTAGTTCTTTACTCTTTGTGTGGTAACCAAATGACAGAGAGTTGTCGTTTTACCTACGCGCACTCATCCATCAAGAAGCTGACGGAAAGAATGAGTCTGGAAAGGAAGACAATCTACCTCTAATCCTAGCAATCCTACGCACTATCAAAGGATGCGAAAACGCCGTTGACCAAACAAAGACCGAGGTTTGTAGTGATGTCTATTATCCTTCTAAGGCTGTTCACCAATGTCCAATCTGACTGTTCGTAGCTGTAGAGCTTAAAGCGTGGTTGATAAAGTTGGGTGATTGCATGCAGTTTCACGAAAGGTTAGTGTAAATAATAGCTCGAGGGCTTAATGTTTGGTAGAATGAAGAAGCTCAAATATTCATAGCGTGTGTAGTAACATTGAATCCTGTGAAATCTGCCGATGTTTGGTCAAGTGATGCAACAAAATATTAGCTTATTTATCCACTTCTTCTTACGTTTGGAATAGGTGACTGATGATGTGCATGTATATGCAGACTTTGTATGCAATATGCGATATTGCTATATTGGTTGCTAAGGACTTAGCTCAACAGAAGAAGAAGCTTGTGGAGACGTACCCAGGTGTTATTCCTCTGCCAGCTTCTATATACAAGGTGCCTGAACCTAAGGTACGTGTGAAGAAGGTAGCGGTATCAATAGCTGCCGCAGTGAAGGCTGCCGATCCTAAGACGGCTGAAATGAAGACTCTCGAATCTAAGGTTGTTGAACCGAACGGACCCGTGGCGGCTGAACCGAATGAGTGTAAGGCAGCTAAATCTAGTGCTTCTGAAGTTAAGGTGGCTGAAGCAAATGAATCTAAGACTACTGAGACAGATGAACCCATGACTGAAGCGAACGAAAATATGGCTCCTGCGACAGATGAACCCATGGCTGAAGCGAATGAAAATGAGGCAGTTGTATGCGAGAAATCTAAGCCTCTTGATGCTGACGAGTCCATGGTACCTGAATCGAACCAATCTGCATCTAAAGGCCCTGTATCAGGTGAAGCTACTCCGCCAGTTGGAGATGAAAAAACTGGAGGTTCGGACGAGGACGAACCAGAAGAGGAACCTCCAAAGGTGAGTTTCGTATGTCAGTTCATTTGTATTTCTGTAATTTATCGTCTATTGAGGACTACCTTACTTTCTAGTCTCTACAATTGTTCCTCTGAATTCTCTTCAGAATCTGAATTTGGCAATGGCTTTTTTATTGGGTTCGTATTGGCAACCTTTGATACTTGAACGTGAAATTTTTGCAGGTGGATGGTAGTCATCTGCCACCTTGCTTCACAGACAAAGATGTCTTAGCAAAATTAAAGATTGGAATCTCCTCGAAAGGCGGTCAGGTACTATTACTGTCTTCAAAATCAAGCAGTACTGTATTTCTTCCAGGGTCATCTATGCAGAGAATTTGTTGTTTTGTACATGGATTATAATTAGTTCATTGAACTGATATCAGCTCCGATGATAATCATGATACAAATTTTTTGTCTTGATTTCCACATAATGTTCTATTGCTCTCATGCTATCATTTTGAGTAGGCCTGGATTGCTTACCAGTTTTGTTACTTCTTGTTTCTTGTCTTCGCTTTTAAGCCTGCCAGCCCTAGGGGTCGCAAGCGAGGGAAACGGGTTGACAACGGAGAAACTATTTCGGATACAGAAGGAGAGTTCGAGCACAGTGCGCCCACGCCGAAGAAGGGAAAACTCGAAAATGATAAATCATCTAAAGGTGGAAACTCGGGAGCAGGGGTTATAATTAAGGGAACCTCACGTACTGGTAGAAAGTCAGTGGACAAAACTGAGTCTGCAAAGAAAGTAGGAAAGAAGCCAGAATTGGGAAAGGAACCAGAAGAAGACCTTGATGAAAATACTCCTGCGAAACGAAAACGTGGTCGTCCGAAGGGTTCTGGTAAGAAAGATGATGGAATTAGTGGGGATGAAATTGCAGGACCTTCATCAGACAGTACTCCTACTACGTCAGTCAAGAAGGGAAAGTCAGCCACTCTCTTACCAGACTCCGGCAAAAGAAAACCTGGGCGTCCAGCCAAAAACAAGTCTGAGGATGACTTACAGGAGAAAACCTCACAGAAGAAAGAAAAGGTCAACATTTATTACCTCATGTTCTTAGTACTCAACATATTTGAACACCTTTTTATCCTAGAAACTTGTTCAGCTTTGCTAAGTTATATTCCAGTGATTATACAAGTTGGGTGGGATCTTACTGGATGCTCCTTTGCAAGTAGTTCGCTCTTGGATTAGTAAGTACTAAACTTGTGTTGTCGTTAGCAATTTCAGAGACTAGTAATTCAGATTCGTGTGTTCTGAGCAGGTGGTGGCTGCCGCAACTCCTGATAAATTTGCGAAAAAAGCAAGTGCTGTTGAAAAGGTTAGAATCTTCAGGATTAGTTATTGAATTCGTGGTGGAGGTTTTTTTGGGAGATAGGCAGGCCACATCTATCCCCGAAGTTGAGTCATTTCGTGTTAAATGTGTCCAGTTAATAGTGAACGCCTGTAAAAGTTTAATGACATTATATTACTGTCGTAGGATGCAAGCCCAGCTTGGAGGAATGAAGACGAGAGAGGTGGAGACGAATCTCTTGTGGGTTGTGGTATTAAAGTTTGGTGGCCGTTGGATAAGAAGTGAGTGCCTAACCCAACACGATGAAGAAACGAAGGAGCTACACTAGAGGAAATCACAACGAAAGCATTGTGATTTGAGCATATCTTTTAACTTTAGTTTTAAGTAATTAGGATTTGGCGACTCTGATGTCGGGGGTTATTTACCACGAACCCTTAGCCTTACGGCATCGCATGAATAATCAGTTTGTGTTGGTTGTCAGCAACGTATTTTCCTTACGATTGATCTCATCTCCATGTCCAATTGAATTATTATTGACAGATTCTACAAAGGGAAGATTGTGGATTATGATGCTAAGAAGAAGAAGCATAAGGTATGTCATAGCTTAAAAGGGTCTGTGTTCGTACGCGTTGACATTGGACCTGTCTTAGATCCCTTCCAATTTAGAGCTTGCAAATCACTGGCTTTGATAAGAGTTATTGTTTTACATGGCTCGAACCTCGAATTTTTCTAACTTGTTTTTACTGCACATTCTGCTAGATCTTATATGACGACGGGGAGAAAGAAGTTCTTAATTTGGCTAAGGAACGGTGGGAGCTAACTGATAAACAGGGCAAGTCATCTGCAAAGAAAGAGAAGGTAGCTTTGAAAACTGTTCGCCTCAATATTTTCGAAGTTTTTTGGAATGATGTATTATAATCTAATTTCCGTGTGTCTATCACTTTTTTTTGTACTCGCTGCTTGTTCTTGCAGACGCCAACCGCAACCCCTCCAGCAGTGCTCTCCGGGACAAAATAGTACGGCTCATGCTTCTCATCCTTATTTGTTTTTATAGTTATTTTTCATGTACGGAATTCTTTCATATTAATATACGTTACACATATGTTTGCGATTTCCATTAAAAATTGTTATTCATATTTCTCTTTCGGTAATTGACTTTCCGCAAGAAGCTAATTTTACATTTTAAAAAATATTCCCATTCTGAATTGGCTTTCAATTATTGTTTGAGGGTTGCCGTTTGTTGCCGGTTACAAGTATCTCTAATCTGTTTTTGATCATTTTTCCCAGCCCGGAGCCGAAAAGACTGAAGGTGACTACGAAGACACCAACGTCAAAGGATGAGTCAGCAAAAGCATCTGGCACCTCGTAATTTTCCTTCACTCCTACTTTATTATAATAGTATGAGATTGTAGCGCTAGAGGATTGTACGAGATTGTAGCGGTACAACGCTGTTACCTAGACAACGTTGTAACGCATTGTTTGTTGCCTGAAATGTTGTTCCTTAGTAATGAAAAGTAGTTTCTTTCATTTTCAAATCCACATCTGTCTGCGCTAAACAATCTTGTCGATTTTTTTCTCTAGTGTCAGTGTTGCCCCCAGCATTAGGTGACAGATTCTTTCAAATTGTGTCACAGAAAAGGTGGTGAATCGGTCAAATCAGCAAAGGCAGTGAAGGATAGAGACTCGAACAAAACTCCTAAAACTGCTGAGGAAAAGGAATCGGAGAAATCTCCAAATGTTGTCAAATCTGCTGAAGCTAATGAACAGGTAGCAAGTGCATTTGAGTTCGATGATGAAGGGGTTGAACCTGAAGCCAAGAAGCGGAAAACTGCAACATCGAAAGGTAACATTCTGTAGACATTTTGTGTATCCTTATTCATTCTTTGTTCTTTATTTCATGATTAGTGAAAATGCTGGACTGTTTTCCTCTGCCACTCGCTGATGTGTATAAGGTCATCAAGGGTTGACAGATTGCGAGGATGATTAAAGCTTTTACTTTTTGGTACAATATTGGTAATTGAGTACAGTTTTTAAGTACTGCTTTGTTTTTTGGAAGCAGCTTTGGATGGGAATCAAAGTAAAGCTGAGAAAGCAATGAGTACATCCAAAGGTTCAGTCTCTGAAAATGTCAAAGAGACGTCGGAAAACAAACCAGATGGAGGAAAAGATGATGAAACTGCAGAGGATGACGAGCCCCTGGTAGGTCGGAGATTCTGTCCTTGTATAATTGTGGGTTCTCCACGACTGACGTATGTTCCCTATTTCTTGTGTTTCAAGATATCCGATTACATAGGGGACTTTGTGATTCTGCTTGTGCTATGTACTAGCTTCTCACTGCCAAGTCTTGGTTGAAGCTGGCAGGACAATTGGAGAACTCGGAACGTATCGAAGTCAAAGCCAGTTAGTGATTGATCTGGTCACAGCCATGGGAACATCTCACTTTTGGACACAGCAAGCGTGTTTGCGAGCTTTTAGTGTAGAGATTATGTGCCTTAGTTTCAGAACTAGCAGGTTTGTACATTCAACTTTGTATTGAAACTGGAGGATTACGAAGGCTTGTCATTGAGAGGTTGTTGATCTGAGGGCTTTCCCAACAGATCAGTCTGTTTAGTAGGTTTAAATTTGGGGGAGGTGGAAGGAGATACTATCCTGCTTACATTTGTACTCGTAACTTCAGTCCGTATAGGCAGTGTGACTGTTATCAGATCTTATGCTGCTCCCTCATGGTTTCACTACCTGTATTCAGGTTGGGTACTTTGTGGGTTATAGGCAGAATCCACTTCCTTTCTATTTGGGCTAGAACAGCTTAATCTTTTAGATGTTTTCACGACACCAGATATAGTTAAGATGCAGCTCCCTCCTTGTATGCATCCTGTCTTACAGCCCTTTTTATGTTTTATTTAAAAGAGAAATCTCTGAGTCTGGATAGGGTCCCCTTCTGTGAGCACCTTTTTGTCTATCCTGTTGTTTATTGATAAGACATTTTTATGTCTTTTCTCTTAATGGGTAAAATTTAAAATAACTTCACTAAAATTAAGTTCGCTATCCCAACTGGGATTTTACATCGACTGCAAGGAAATTTTTGTTGGGATTGATGGGTGTTTGTTTTTCACTGATTTGGTGACCACTAGTAATTTTACATATTGTGACATCTATATTTTAAGGGCATTGCTAATGACCACACAATTTTTGATAGTCATCTCTTCCACATGCCACCCACGACTTTTGTCAGTGTTAATTAAAAAAGTATATGTTTTGTCTTTCAATTATCTATATATATATTATTTTCAATATAAGAATAAATTATTTTTTATTAAGAATTTTAATATAATAAGCATCTTCACAAAATTATAATTAATTATTTATTAAAATTAAGTTTACTTTTTGTATACTTAATTTGAATGTACATATAAAATATCAACCAAATTTATGATTGGAATAAAAAACACAAATTATTTATGTTGAATATGTGGTGGGTTGTAGTAGCTATTTGCTCATAGTTTCTTGCAATAGAATATATAAAAGTATTTCACGTACACAATGATTAATAATTTGCTTGTTCACACAATATTATTATTAAAAAATATATAATCAAAAGAATGTTTAAAAGTGTTTTTAAAGTTATGTTTGGTGGTCTTTTAAAAATTATTCTTCTCGTCAAAACGTGTCGTGGAATTAAAAGAAAGAAAAAAAATTTATATTTATTTTTATTTTTTAAAAAGTCTTTATTAAATTTCATGCACGGTTTAAATATTTGGGATGTACTTGTAGTTTGAGCCAAAACAAATTAATCTAATATTTTATTATTAATATTATTTATAATAACTTTTAATTCTAATTTTACCTTATTTATATTCTGGTTTTAAATATTTATAAATTATTACTTTTAGCTATACAGATTTAGAATATTTGTTGAATATATACTTATAAAAAAGTAATATTAAACTGCTGTTGTTTGGCACAAACTTGGCCTTACTAGTCTTCTTGGAGCCACTCTCAGATTCTAATTGCATCTTTGAAGCAACTACCTTCTAACAATTGAACAAACAAACCAACAAAATAATGTTTGAGCTGCAATCAACACCTCTTAAGTTTGTTCAATGAAAATAGACAAATTTTAGAGTAGCCACCATCATCAAATTATTTAATATCAAAAGTATTTAAGAATGTACTTTGATTAGGTGGGAGATAATATTAACCAGTAATAGATACTAACAAATTAATTAACAAAATACAATACGTTTAGAATTGGTCCTATTGTAATTAGAAATGAAATATAAGATAAGATCCAGTTAAGTAAGGACATAATTAGATCCAATCAGACCAAGCTCAAGTTTAGGTCTGAGGTTTAGGTCAAGGATTAGTAAGATCCTTTGCTGTAGGAATAAACATCTGCTTTTGATAGAAGCTTAAAGTTTAGCTCTATTAAAGATAGAAAAAAACCTTTCTTGATTTGTGTACTAAATTTGAAGTACTATTCTACCAAGATTGTTATGGTACTTACATGTAAAGTTTGTACCTAGGAATTTTTCTATCAAACAACCAACAAGTCTTTAAGACACATTGGTCTTATTCAATATTATTACCTTTGATTTTAAAAATTATTTAATTTTTAAATTAGTTTTTATTTATTTATTTATTTATTTATTGAGAGTATATCTCATAAGCCAATAATTTATTTATTTTTGCATTGAAAACTATGATTTTGTAATAAAGAAGGTGATTTTTATTTAGTTTTTTATACAATCAATGCCTTCCACTTCAAACTCTTGATTGTTGTCCACTTCTATAGAAGGGTGTGGCAATTGTCATCTTTTTAGTATATCTATTGTTTTGTATGACTCAAGAAGACACATGGAAAACATAATGGATCTTTATAGATTCAAGTTGGTGTAATCAATATGTAACTAAATTAATTTTTTTACAAATAGAAAATAGTCCAAATCTACAATGATTCAACTTGTCACAAGAACAAATATTCTTTTGGAATATATAAACATCTCTTGATATAAGTTGGGTGTATGGCAAATATATTGGAATCTTATCTTGTAAGTTATACTTGTGCTAAATGACCTATAAAACATTGCTACATAACTCGTTAGTATATATAGATGGAAGAATGTGACTTTTCTTACTTCTAGTCTAATTTCAAGCATCTCTAGATTTTTTTTTTTTTTTTTTTGGCAATAGCCATTCCAATTCTTTCTTAAATATACATCCTTTTTATTTCTTTTTTGTGATCCCTCTTTGATAGTCATCTTAATCTATTTATTTACAATTCTTTAATTTTTGCTCAAATTAGTTGTTATTGCCAAATAAATTAGGCAATCTCACATCTTTAACTTTCTTTGATATAAGTGAGTACTTAAGGTTGAAATTATTATAAAATAAATTAAGCAACTTCACATCTTTGATTACCTTTGATAAGTTATAAAAATTTAACATCATATCTTATATACTAAGAGAACTCAAATATTTTCTTACTTTAAACAAAAAACTTCTTATTAAATGAAATAAGCAACCTCACATCTTTGATTTCTTATATTATGTACAATTAATGAAGCTTGAGAGTATTTTAAAATAAAATTAATAATGTCACATTTTTTACTTCAAAGCAATAATACTTCAAAAAATACTCTTTTTTATTTAATTTTTATTTTTTGTATTAATTTCTAATACTAAATTAATCAAAAGAATATATTATCAATAACATCATATAGATTAGAAATGTGCAAAGTTAAAAAAAATTGGTAAACAAATTTATTATCTACAATCTAGATTTCAAACCTTCTTCAAAATAAAACCCTATGTCTAAAATTTGGCACTCATGACATATGTTAGTCACTAGTCCAATAGTTTAGAATTCAACAATTTCTTTTTGCAAATTTTTGAATATTGTTGGTTTTTTTTTTATATATATTTTTTATATTTTTAAATTTTTTTTATGTCAATTAAAAATATTAATTTAAAACAATATCTTTTGGTAAAGCTAATGAGTTGTAGGCAAAACCTATGTCAAGAAGGATTTTGGAATAACTACAATTTTGGGCTTTATTGCATAAAACTAAACTTCATTCTAACTCCATTGAAGGTAAAGATAGGATAAAACAAAGTAGGAATAATATGTTGCAACTAGAACAAGAATTTTGGATTTTAGATTTAGAATTTAAAATTTAAAGCATTGTTAATTTTTTGGCATTCTTATTTTTTAATCTTGACTTGACTTTCCTCTCTATTTGTGGGATTTAAAATTCTCATGGTGCAAATAACTTGCTCTACAAGTTTTTAGATTGTAAGATATAACCTCTTCTATTTTGGCATTAAGATTTTAACTTTTTGGATATGATGTCTTTTGCATGTTTAGAATAAACCATTATCTTTAAATTAGGATTGCTAAAACCAAACATTTATTTAAAATAATCTAAAAGTATATGGATTTGTAGCTATTGAGGATTTGTCTATTTTAGATTTTGAATTGACTTTGCAACTAGAAAAGTTTTTGTAAATTCTGATTTAGTATTTTTTATATTTTTAGATTCTAAAAATAAAATAATATGTTTAGAATATTCCATAATTTTTAAATTTTTTGGATATTGGAATTTTGACTTGACACTTTTCTTACTAATATTATTTTGAGTTTTTCTTTTTCAAAATTTGAATTGATCTACCTCCCTATTTTTATTGTCTATGATTTTAGTTGTATATTTAAAATCTTTAACAAGTCAATAGTATAGGAAATACAAGGCTTTCTTGATTACAATAAAGGCTAAAGTTTAGAATTTGGATATTACTTTTAGCTTTGAAGATCCACACATTATTTTAAAATCTATTAATTTTTTTATTATCTTAAAGTATATCATAACACACTTGTAGTTTTCTTAATGTAAAAACATTAAACTATCTAATTACAAGTTCTAGTTATTTATTTATTTATTGTTTTTGCAAAAACAAAAATCCTTGATATCATTGACTTTAGAAAAATGATTCTAGATTTTATAGGTTTTTTCTAAATAAAATTGTATATTTTCTAAATAAAATTGAAATAAAAAGATTACTTAATTTTTTTTACTTAATAAGTCTTATAAGGTTATTATTAAAATTTTATTATTTTTCTTCCAAATCATACTTTAATGAATTATAAAACTGAAACAAAATATAGCAAACTCATTGTTGGGACATTTCTGTAGAGGTTTTTTTAACAATGTTACTTAAGGTATTTCAAAGTAGATCAATGGAAGAATGCCAAATATTCACTTTGACTTCTATGATTGGCTCCAGTTGAAGTTCAGGCATGGGCGTTTATTGAAGTTTGTGCACTAACATTGCATTGTCCCACAGTGAGTTTAAGAATTAAAGCAACATTAAGTGTGTTATCACGTTGCTTGCGGCGATAGGTAAATCTAGACCAAAGTAACGAGAATAACAACTAAATATAATCAAATGTGAAGGAGGTGTTATTCAACACCCACTGGTTCGAAGTTGAACTCCAAACAACCACCCGCTTCCCAATTTAATATTCCTTTGACACCAAAGCTCCCAATGCTGTCAAAGTTCCTGACCCCAGTAGGAACGTGCGCAGGGGTTTAAACAAAGTCACACAACTTAGGGATGCATCTAGCTTAAGAGTAATGGATATGCGATGCCTTGGTTAACACAAAAGAATAATTGTAGATCCAAAAGGTAGCTATCTTATCAGTACCAGCATTGAGGAAACTCAACTGAGGAGATGTTGAGGCGATCAACATCAGAGCATCTTGATTGAACATCATCTGTCCATTTGGTTAGGATACTCAATTTCTTCAGCACCAATTGGGTTGTACTGTTAGGGTAGACTTGAATACCGCTTACATCAGCACAACAGTACATTTACAAGACCCACCTCATTCAACCTGCAGTTAGGACATGAATTGTAACAGATAGGAGATTATTCTTTAGGAGTTTATTCGAAGACTGATGACACTGACATTCATGAGAATTAAACCAGATCACATGCAAAAATCTAGCCCAAAGTGGGTGATACATAGTTAACCTTAACGAATAGCTTCAGAGACAAATAGGTCTCACCAAGATGTAGTCTGGATGAAAGTCTCCAAAATCCGGAATGTCTCAACAGGACTCATATTTTGTCTCAAAATTGATATGTACAAGTTGGTTGCAGTCAGTATATTACAGAGGGAGAGCCAGGTGCTCATCCATTTGTTAGATGCCTGCAATGTGCGTTATTCAGAGGTGACGAAGCGCCACAGTAATGTACATAAAACACCAGCGGTGTTACATCGCAAGTCTAGTCGTGGTCAGAGGTCCTCAGAGCCACCTTGTTCTCCTGATTGGTTTGTTTTCCCTCGATCTTGTTTTCCCGATGCTTTCTTTTATTTCGGTAGATGAATTGGATGTCCGACGAGAGGTCACTGACCCGTTCAAAGATCCATTGTATTCCATGGAAGCTAGAACTCCAGCACTTACCCAATTAATCTCTTCCTGCTGAGACTCAGAATAGACTTCCTTCTCCCTCTTGACGACTTTACCTTTACCCTGAGCTTTGAGGAGGCTGGCTTTAGTAGGGCGCAGCAATCCACTGGGTTTCTTGTTCTCATCTGTGGAGGTGAAGAAAGCATTGCCTCGTGCTCGTTGTGATTTGGTAACCTTGGTGTTGCTTCCAGCTGATTCCGGTCTGCTGCCTTTGAAAAGGAAAATGTTGTTGACTTCAGAAGTGATTTTATCAAACAGGAATGCAGTACTGATTGAGGGCATGAGATTTAAGATGAAGGGGGGTGTCAACATGTTGCCAACATAGCTTTTGCACATACGGGTACGCCATATGCATTTTAGAGTTGCAATGCTACAGTTCTCGCCCAGAATTCAGTGACTCTTGCTAACGTAAATCTTATGAAGAATGAGTGAACGTTCTTAACTGAAAGGAGCGTACTTAATTCCTAAAAAAGCAGCTCGTTATTCCCTTATTTATAAATTCTGTGAAAGAACCAAGTGTAGGATGAGATGTTGGCAATTACCTATTGTCATGTTCTTCAGCTGCTTTAGTCCCGAACTTGACCTGCCTTCGACGGAGAAGTATTCTTGTGAGCGACGAAGGCTGTCGCCGTTGCTTGGTGTACAGAATTCATCTCCAAGCTGGAATCCATCATCCGCCTCAAGAGTTTGCAGCGAGCTTTCTACCTCCAAAAAGTCATCGAATAACGTGGCAATAGGAGAGGGGAACATACTTCCATCAACAGAAAGTGCTAGTGGTCTTGCTGAAGACGTACCCTCTTTCTCCCTGTTTGGCAACGAGGTTGTTGATGCTGTCAGCCGAGTAAAATTTTCAGTCCTGGAGCATGGGATGGGAAGCAAGTTCTTCGAAGGATCAACGCGGTGACTCCGTGCTTGCAGATCCTGGCAAACATTGGCTTTGGCATAAAGGTCTATCCGGTCTTGTGTCATACAGGTGCTGAATGACTTCGGCTGCCTAACAGTTGCATTCATATTGGGTTGAAGATCTTCAGGGTCATGAGGAAGTGAAGAAGCATGCGTTTGAGTCCTTACACGACAAATTCCGTTGAACCTATCTTCTAGGGCAAGCGCTTCTTCAGCTGAAGATCGGAGTAAGGAGAAACCACGTCTGGCCTTGTCACGAAGAAGAGGAGATCGGAGCTCGAGTTCGTAAACCTGTCGAAGCAAGAAGAAAACATTTGAGTAAATTATCTTTCATATGGACAAAAGAGAAGGAGGGAACGACGTGTTAAATGTTAAATCCGGAAAAAGATAAGGCAACTCAATAGATTAATTTTATTAATTAGAGACATAACTGAGGTAGGGCAGAGAAAAAGCGTTTTTCTTAAACAAGACGTTTCAAGATGGTTTTATGACACAGCGAAATAGAAGGGGCATTCGTGGGGCAGAAGAGCAGTCAGTACCTTGTCTTCAAGAGCGATTATTTCTTCCTTGAGCTCCTGAATTGCAGAATCCTTACGTTTGCAGATATCCTCCAAGACTGCCAATCTCTGCAGCAATTTTTTCACAACTATCAGAAAGGGAGGAATTGTTTTTTATCTTTCAAGTCAAACTGTGATTGGAAAGAATTCGTGTATATTGTTTTTCTCAGCGTTTTTTGAATTTGTTAAAGTGAAATATACGTGTATCAAATCAGTAAGAGGATTAATACGTCACCTGATCACTTGCTTCTCGCGTTGCCTGGGCAGCAGCAGTGATACCATCGAGGGCCATATCACGCCTCTGACAATCTCTTTTCAGCTCAGCGATCTCCTTCGATTTTGCTAAGAACATTGTCTGTCCATTTAGAGACATTCATACTATCGTAAGAATAAAGATAACCACGGAAATTTCTGTTGTGATGTGTATTTAACATGACTACAATAACAATACCTTAGTTGAATTCACCCTAAGAAATTTGAGCTGCTGTTTAGAACTAGTAAGAGTCTAGAATAATGTATCTTTACATGTAGATGTACATATACATTGGGTATGCAGCATAGGGCTTGTTTTTACACGATGCAGAAGGATTCAGGTCCCAACAATTCAAGACTGTGGACTTCTTCAACCTGAACAATTTACCTTGCGACTACGCATTAATTCGTCATAAGCAGATTCTTTTTCTCGAAGCTTTGTCGTAAGCTCGTTCATTTCCCGTTCGAATTTTTCCTGAAAACAGTAGTAATTTTATCGATCAACAGATCAACAATGAGACAAATAGGAAATTATACGCTCTCCGTCGCATAATCTCACAGCTTATTTTTAAAACCGTTTTCCTTCTGTTTACCTGGTTTTCGTGATCACGAGCTATTGCCTCCGCAAGCTTGACCTCGGCTTTCTCTCGTTGAGTATCACTATCTCGGACACTCTGCTTCAAGGTATCCATTTGGCACTCCATCCCTGCGAGCTGAAGATTGTGGTAACATCTCAAATCAATAAAAGGTGAGACCAACTCCCTTTAAGTAGAGCCAATTGCAACCTTGAAGGCTAAGTAAAATTAGAAATCCGGCAATGCCTCCCTCAACCTCAAATGATATGAAATTGAGATGCACTTGAGTGAGCACAAATGATACCACTAATCGTTCAAACTGACTGAGAGTAAGCTGAAGATGTACGTAGCAGATACACCAAATCGGCACAAAACAGCGGCAATAAAGGCAAAAGATAGCAATAGAAGAAGAAGCATAAGAAATCAAATCTACCTTTGCAGCTGCCTTCTCAAGATCTTCGAGCAGCTGTTGAGCTAGAATTTGTGGTGCATCTTCTGAAAGAGCTGACACTCTTTGTTTAGATAATGGGCTTTCAAAATTCTCAGCAGTTTCCCTTCCATCCAAAGGAGCCATCAATGAATCCACGGTTTTCTGCACTGCTGCTCCTATAGCTGACGCTATTTCGCTCCCTTTATGCTTCCAACTCGGAGAACACGCTGCTTGAATGTCTACTCCGGAGAATGCATTCGCCGCGGCTTCAATTCTGCTTAGTAACGACGGCACAGTTGTTTCACTTCGATGAGCCTGTTGCCACCGCTTCCATTCGTCAATTCCTTCTCCCCTAGTGGAAACTGTATTTTTGTCGTTGTTCAGAGGTGTCTCCTGCCAATAGTACCTCCAGACTTAAAATCAACTTTTCCTACTAAATGAATTGTAAGGAAGACGAACCATGTAGGGTCAGAGGTATATCATAAGAATCTAACTAACCAAGCAGCACCCCACCTAAACCTCCAATAACACTAGCATTGACGCAAATCGGCGATCACACACAAGTCCCCCGTCAGCAACACGCTGGATAAACCCAAGCTGGACAAATTCGAAGACTAATCATTTGTACATTTAAAAGGTAGAAAGTTAAGTGAAGTGCAGTGAAGTGCTTACAGGGACCAGCTTCGCTACACGAAGTAGGAGATTCTCACAGTCTTGGGGCGAGAAGTTGAGGGACACCAATGCATGCGGCCCAATGGTGCGCCAGATGTTCAAAACAGCTGCTTGAAGTGACGCAACCTGTGCACTTGCTTTTTCTACGCTCTGTTTCAATGCTGCAGAAGCTGCCATGCCACAAACAAATTCCAATGCTCTAAAATTGTTTCTGTTCAAAAAGACATCGTTTCTGCTTCTTTGAGCAAAACGGAACAACCGCTTAGCTGAAGTAAAGGAGTGTAGCTTTGGGTGGGCCCCTAGTTGCTGAACAAGTTTACCCTGTGAACCAGCAGGTGACTTGGATCACCGCGGTTTATCCACCGCAGGGTAACCCGGTCCTTCACTAGTTGTGCCTTTAAACTTACACTATTGCACGAAAATGGCCACCATAGACAACTGAAAAGTAATACTCTGCTCTACTTGATCGCTATGAATCAACGGGAGTACAGTGCATAGTCCCAGCATTTACCCCAATAAGAATGAGACTGATAAATACCTTTAGCTTTCTTCTCGGGCGTATTCCCACGTCGTGAGAATGAGCTTGTTCTGTCCATTTTCTCTAACTTCTGGGCCTGCGATTCCACCCCTTTAAACTACGACCTGAAATTGTATGAAGCTGAAGACCTACACTGAATTTAGTATGCTTGAAGTAATTGACAAACTTAACGAGCGGCAATCGAGCGATTTGAACACTTCACCTTTTCAATGACGTGGGAAAGCGCAGCCATCACTTGGGACGCCTCTTTATCTAGTACGGAGAGGACCTGATTCTGCACTCACAAAAACTGTTACAAACTTCACAATCCGGTTTTATACTGCTCGTCTTACTAGACACATGGGTGTTGTGATTTCTGGAATATGAATGCCAGGCAAAAGCAGGACAGGTTACCTTTACTTCAACGAGTAGAGCAGAACAGCAACCCCGCATGGCAGCCATCTCTCCCAGAACTAGAGATTTCTCTTTCGGAAGAGTAGTAAACGAATCCTGTGATGGGAGGCAACCAGAAAAAAACTCACTTCAGTAATTGCGCACAACTTCAATTCTTTCAAATCAGATCAACATGACTACAGTATCAGGCGCATGGTAAAAGTGAAACATATCCATGAAATGAGACGACGTACTAAGAACCCCCTGATTAAACTCACATAGGATTACACCAATACTCAATGAACACAGTATGTAGAACATAAGATTTAATAAAATACCTCGTAAGAAAATCTCTTTCTAATTGTCGTTGGAGTAACAGTATCAGCACTAATAGCCGTAAAGGAGGACTTCACAGACATCCACTCAATAGGCTCGGTCGCATCAGCGGAAAATCTTGAAAATATTCGTCGTCGCTTGTCAGGCGTACAATCTTCAAAGTAGTGCTCACTATGGAGGCTGTCGTCACTCCGTCCACTGTGCTCTATCAGTGGATTGCTGTACCATTTAGCATCTCCTGATTGAACTGTCTGCAACTGATCTTGGGACTTTTCAACAAGTAAAACGCTTTTATTGATGGAATTATCTCTAAATAGGCCGCTTCCGACAGAGCCATCAGGCAAGTCACACTGCCATTGTCTCTTGGAGATTATTGGTGTCTCCATCATTGGAGTGTCGGGATGTAGTCCGTCACTCCCGCACAAAGGGGTCATTGGACTTACACTCCTTGGTCTTTGATCAACACCAACTTGTTTAGGAGTCAAAAAGGAAAGAGGGCTATCCTCAGTGGCAACTTGGCCCCACAGATTGCTGAGCTCTCGTCTCATGAGTGAGAGAGCATCCTCCTGCGCAGAGGAATACTATCAGTTTGAGATGTGAAGCACAAAGCAACAACGATGTGAGAGATATTTTTACGAATGTAGAGCATGACAAGATACACTTATACATGAAATATCAAATCATAATGATGGTCTAGCGCACCTGTGCATTGACAGCTTTTTGCAGACGATCAATTTCCTTGCGGTTTACGTGTTTACTTGATGCTGCTGCTGCAGCAGCTACTGCTACAATCAACACCCTTTGCAATGGAGCAAAACAATCCCACGCTTGAGCCTCTTCTTCACCTAAATCTCCTCCAATCCTTCTCGACGAGGTTGCAGAGACAGCGTTGATAATACGCCCATCGAGAGAAATGTGTGCCATCCCGCTGGTGAGGTGACTTCTCCGAGCTTCCTCATTGCTAGCTAATGCGATTTTCTGAAGGTACATGACTTCTTTCGGATGCAACACTGCATCTGCAACCAAAATTGAAGAGTCAGCTCTCGTGGTTTTAGATAACTTCAAAAGTCTCCACGAACAAGAAGATTATCATCGGGATAGGGGGGGGGGGATTGGGATTTCAATTTAACAGCAGCTACGACTTTCTATACTTAATCGAATAAAAACGCTTCTGAAACACACACATGATGCTACGAAATTCAGAGAAGGTTGTGATCCTCCAGTATAAACTCGACCAGATCGACATAGAACATAACCTGACTCCATGACAGAGATTCCTTGAGTGGTGCGGAAATCGCATCCGTGAAGCGAAGCCCGCCTATTAAGCCTCGCCCTTGGAGCAACAAAATGCTTGCTCAACATTTTATTGCTTCGGTTCGGCCTTGGATTTGGCTGTGTAATTTTTCCTTTGTCATCCCCATCTTCGAGCATGGTAGGCCGTCCATCAACAGTAATTCCTTGTAGGGAAAACATCCCAGGTTGCTGGGAAAACGGGCCTCCTCCGAATCCTTCAGGTGCCACTGAAAACCTCCGATTCGATAGTACATTTTCTTCAGGGTGATATTTCTGAAATTCAGGTACAGTAGAAGCTGGTGTTTCTGGGACGACAAGGCGCGGCCCTTGTGGCTTGCGACTTTGACATAGGCGACGACTAACCATACAGTTAATCATGTTGGAGGCGATGTTAATCAAACCTTAAGGTGTAAGGGAGTTCATCGATGGCATAACCTGGCAGGAGCCCTGTTGCACGCAATTTTTTTCATTAGTGCGGACCTTTGAGTTCACTGGAGACTTTGTGTACCCAAATACCTGCAGTCCCGTCTTCTGTGTAAGGTGGAAGAAATGTGTTTCTTGAAAAACTATCGCTCCACCGAGAACTAGCTCAATCTTCTTCTTCCTCTCCTTCTTCAGTACACAATGTGAGAAAAACAAACTTACAGGACCATCTAAGATTCTTTGATTTTCCAAGCTTAACCGGCATACGAAGGGCAAGAATACTCTGACCTACTCCTTGCCCCACACGTTTGCAGTGATAGAATTCTCAAGCCGTGGTTCGAGGGTAAATCTTCAGATACCAATGAGTAGGACTACTTTAACTAGGTTCAACGTACTTCAGATACATTCTGGGAGGTGTTAGCCCCAGAACCTACTCCATGATTTTCTTGTAGTGAATTCTACCACAATCTAAAGGATATCTAGTTTCTTGGACATTACAGACTGAGCATGAAACAACGAGGATCTCAACCACGCTACGGATGAATGCACTGAAACTTAATACTACAGACAGAAACACTCTAAAAGAGTGAGCAGCTCTGGTAGAAGGAATGAACAATCAGGTCACAAGATGAATACAATTAGGAGAGTTTTTTCAACCACACTCTCACACTGTTTACAGCACTTGATCATCGTAGCATCAGCCAGTTCGGGTAGCGACGAGATAGCCAAGACATGAAAGACCTCGACTGACTACGTAATATCACCACATCAAAATCTACAGTGAACTTCACTCGCTCGGACACGAACAGAAGCCACTACAATATCGTCAAGGAGACAGTCATTGCAGAGTTCCTTCCTCTTAAAGAATATTACCAGTAGCTGTGCAGGCGAATGTCGAGTGGGGAAAAGCGTGCGTACAAAATCTCACTTCAAAATCATTCTGCTACTCCAAACTACTGAGTATCAAGAAAGATTTGCCGCTTCACTTTCTCCCCTCAGCGTTAATTGAAGGGGGAACCAATGGCGGACATAGAAACAAACACGGCAGAAAAAAAAATCCCCGCGCGCAACTGCAAACTATTCTTCTGGCACACCCAAGCACTCCACTTCCAACGACGGCCTCTGCCACCTCTCCTCATCTACTCCCATTCCTAAATTCGCAAGAACTAAACTCGACCACATCATACACCTCGACCGCTCCCAAATCCCACCCCAACCTGAAGAAATCCACAACCAGAAGCCTCTAATTCGGAACAAATTCCCGTCCAAAGAAGATGAAAAATTCTCGTGACACGTCCAGTCCAGCTCCAAGCTCACCACACTAGTGAAGCATCTCTAAACCAAACACGCCGGAAACGAACTTGGAAGAATCCCAGGGCAGAACTGCAGTGGCTCCAGGGCTAAATTTGAGCATCGACGGAACAGATATCAAGAACAAGAACGAGGGCGACGCGGAGGCTATCCGGAGCGGGTTTGTTAGTTAGCCGAAGGTTTCGGAGGGGAAGCAAGGATTGCCACCTCCTATCGCTTTTCTTCCCCATTTTGAATTTTTCAAATAGAGGAATATTCCAACGGCTTCGATCTCACGGATACGATGCGTCGCGCGACACGCGCCGTCGATCGGGGGTCAATGGCCGAGAATGCCGTTGCAATCCTCGGCATGAGGTGCCTGTCGGGATGGATGAAGAACCGTCTTTAAATGCCATTTGCTGTTCTGTGAAGATTCGTATTTAGCTACATTTTGAACGAACGAATATTACTTTGCGTTAAGTTTTCTCATTCATCCGTGCTACGGGGAGCATGAAGGACGAGACTGGACTGTGGTTGAACGTTCGTCGTAATAGCAAACGAATCGTCTGTTGGATCTTCCTCACGTCGAACGAGAAAGTATATAAATCGTCCTATGCAGAATCAAACCTTCAGATGTCTCAAACATAGTTATCTAATCCCGTAGGTCTAAATTCAAGCCACCATGGCAGTTTCATTGGTCATTGCATTCTACATATGCTTGGATCCTTCATTTAGGTTGGTTCCCAACATTCCGTCAATGAAGCTGGTCATGCAATGGATTGTGCTGGGTTGTGAACAAATATAAGAGACGAGATATAGAGTTGGTCTTCCTTTTTTTTTGCCTATTTTTGTAAGCAAGAGCATGTGGTTTTTGAAAAGTAGCAACTTTGGTAATTTTGAATCGTGGATTTTAAAGGTAATTGATGTAAAAGGATCGCACTGCTTAAGCTACAAAACAAGCGGAATAAAGATCACGTCACCCTTTCATCCATAAATAGTTATTACATCAGCATTTGTGATAACTTTTACTTTAAGTATTTTTATAAACTCATGCATGAAATCTGCAATACTGCATCTTCAGTCTCTTTCCTTTTCTCTTTTGTCTTTTATTGACATTACTCCATCTACAAAAATAAAATGAAAACAAATACTCTAATTAATTTTGTATTGGAAATCACAATTTACTTGTGTTTCATCATTCTCAAAGATCTGATCCTATTTATGGATGAAAGCATGAAACGCAATCTTAATCTCACAAGTTTTTTAGCTTAACTATTGCAATCATTGCATAATGATTACCTTTGAAACTCAACATTACAAATTACAAAAGCTGCTCCAAAAGCTGTTCACAAGGAAATAGATTTCTTTGTAATAAATCCTTTGAATCTGAAAAATGTGATTAATGTGTAGGTTTCAAACCATAGATGATATATGTTATCAAAATTAATTCTACATCCACAATTTATTTATTTATGTTTAAGCAATAGGTAATTGCAGTGTTTCTGTTTTGATTCACTTGAAATTGTATATCAAAAAACCAAAAAGATTGACAATTTTTAAAATTATTTTGTAAGGATAGTGAGACTTATTTTTTTTCAATTAATAGTAAGTGTATATATATATATATATATATATATATATGTAATTTCAATAGAGAAAGAAGATAAAACTAAGATTTTTTTTTACTATAAATATAATAATATTTATAATTTTATAGTTGGTTTTAAGAATGTTATCCATTATTAGTCATATGATGTAACTCCTTCTTTTGGCCAAAGTATGATTGCTTAGATAAAGCATTTGCCAACCTTTGTTGTTTTTTGGATCAATATGTAATATTGAAGTCAAAACAAGAGATAAACATATTCCACTAAGTTTAGCAAAATTTTCAAACATGAGCTAATATAAAATACTTAAGATTCTTATGCTTTGTATATATAGTCATTGAATGTAAAGCACCTTCAAGCAAATAGCACCATTCTTTGAAGGAATCTACAATAGCAAAAAATTATTTATTATAAGTTTCATAATTAATCTTGGTAGCTAAAAATCTTTTAAAATAAAAGATAACTAGATAAAATTTCTTGTCTTTATGTTTTTATAATAGTACATCTTATAGTAGAAAATTCAAGGCATCACTTTTCTTATATATATATTTTTAATCTAAATATATTAAGATTGGGATTGTAATAAAAGTTGACTTGATGTAATAGGGTATGGAAAAGATATTTATATTGTTGACATATAGAGATAGGTAGTTGGAGTCGTTTTTGTATAGTTTCTAGAATTGGGGCTAGATTGGTGGTCTATTTGAGACCCACAATAGAACATTCTAGAAAGACTATCTTATTGAAGTCTATTATTATAAACATTTTAGAAAGTTCCAAAATAGTTGGACAAAGTATAAATAGAATTGGCTAAGGCCATTTAGATATTCAATGAAATGTAGCTTTGGTTCCTTTCTCTTAATAAAGTTTGATTTATATTTTTCTATTCTATTTTATTCTATTCTATTTTGTTCTGTTTTATCTTTTATGTATCATTTTATTTATTTTTGTTTAATTTTATTCTAGTATGCTTTGTCCTATATTATGAAAGAATTTATGTTGCTATAGATTAGAAAGGTTTAAGATCTTAGAGAGAGTCTAGTCCCATTTCATTGGTATCAGAGCAATTATTAATTTGTTCTTTGGTAGTATGTTGATAGCCACCATCTACTTGGAGATCAGTTGTTGTAGTCACATCCAATATTGTTTTGAGGCTACCATGAGTTATTTTTAAATAAGTGAGCTAAAATGAGAGAAGGCATTACAATAACAAAATCTAGCAAAGAAATTGTAGTATGGGAGATATATGGGAGCAATTCCAAATGAAGGCTTAGATACAATATTTCTTGAAACTTATAATCCAACAAGAGGTGGAATTAAGAGATCCATAAATATTTGAAGAAGCAATGAAGATTGTAGAGAGGATCGATGCTATAGATTTTAAAAAGTATAGAGCATAATCTATAGTATGGAGTTCTATATTGCTATCTAGTACTATGATATAAGAAGCAATGCCAATGAACATTGATGCCCTGCAAGGACTATTAACACCACAAAGATGACAAATAGTGGTGCAAAAGGGATTGTATTTTTATTTTTAAAAGCTAAGCCATGAAATCGGAGATTATCCAAAATGTCAAAATTTAGGCACCAATAAATCAAGACAAGTTCATAATCTCAAGGCATATTAAATCAATAAAGAAGTAGAGTATGGAAATGAGGCTCTTTAATAAAGATATTAAGGGCCAATAATAGAAATAATTGGTGTTTCTTAAGAATAAATGGCATGACCTTACACAACTATCAAAAAGATCAATTAGTGTATCTAACAGGTCGACTAAAATCACAACTATATTAAGTACTTATGAATTGCGGCTCTAAAATAAATTACATCTTGATTGGGATTGTTGACTGATTTGGGATTAAAACCAAGGTGATCAAAGAAGAGAGTATATACCTAACAGATGACCGAGAGAACGTATTGAGTAAAACACGTGAAAAAGAAATCTTGATATTGAATAACACTATGCCATAAGGAAGAAGTTCAAAACCACAAAGTTTAGATATGATGTTATCTTTGGTATGCCATGGCTAGAGATAAAAATTAAGCAAATTGATTGATTAGCAAAGACAATCTTCTTCAAAGACAATGAATGCAAGGTGACTCTTTGTGCCTCTACATTAAGTGAGGTAGCAAAATGATTTGCCACTAAAGGCTTATTTGTAGGAATAATCTTTATGAAGAAGCAAATATAGTATAAGCAATTAATGAATATAGTAGTTCCAAATCTTCTCTAAATCATGGAAAAGACAACCAAAGGAGCAAAATGAATAGAGCAACTCATATGTAAATATTGGGATGTTTTTTCAACCAACTTATTTAGTAGTGTGTCACTTGATTAAGGTGCCTCATTTCAAATAGAATTATTACTTGGAGCCAAATTGGCAAGTCGGCTAATTTATTACCTAACATCAAATAAACTTAAAGGATTATAAAAGACAAGATATTAGATGAATTTTTTGAGAAGGGCTTCATTTAAAAAAAATACATTGCCATAGAAAGCACCTATATTCTTTGCATTGAAAAATGATGATAGACCTCAACTTTACATCGACTATCAAGGCCTTAATAAATAAACTATCAAGAATGCATATCTACTTCTATGTGTGGATGATCTTTCTGATGAAATTTGAAGTTCAATCATCTTTAGTAAATTAGACCTTTGGAGTGGCTATTAATAGATATCTATTGTAAAAGAAAATATAAAAGATAACATTTTGTATGTGCTATGGACATTTTGAATGGCTTCTTTTGCCTTTTGGCCTCACTAATGCTCCAACCTCCTTCATAGATGACATGAGCAAATTCTTTTGAGACCTTTTAGATAAGTATGTAATTTATTTCTTTGATAATATCCTAATCTATAGTAAAATCTTTAAGGAGCATGAACAATACCTATGGGAAGTGCTGTGCCAATTATATGATAGTCACTTATATTGCAAGTAATGAAAGTATGAACTTTGAAAGTTAGAGGTCACTTTTTTGGAGTATATAGTGTCATTCAAAAGAATGTGTATAGAACATGATAAGATGAAAGCGGTAGAAGATTGGCCAATCTCCAACAATGTTTCTAAAGTTGTTCATTTTTAGGCCATACTAGATATTATCACTATTTTGTTTGATGGTTAATTTACATTGCTGCTTCATTGACAAGCTTATTGGAAAAAGGGTGTCTTATTTGAATAGAAACTAAAACAACAAAGTACCTTTGATAAGTTAAAGGAGGTACTAATTATTATTCCAATATTGCAACCATATGAATCCATCTATCTTTTTACACTTAACATTGATGCTTTTGACTTTGTTGAAAGGGCATATGATAAACCTTGTTGTTTTCCAGATCTTTAAGTAATCTTCAAAATAAATCTTGATAAAGACATATTCTAATAGGCTTGGTGATGATTCAAAACATATATTAATATGAAGTACTTGAGGTTATTATATATTATATATATAATAATTGGATTAGAAATACCTTTTAAATAATGACACCATTCTTGAAATGAATCTACAATTGTAAAAAGCTCTTTGTTGTGGATTATATAGTTGATCTTAATTACGTAAAATTTCTTGAAATAAAAGTTATCAAATGGAGC